GGGGGGGGAAGACACCTCACCCATTCACCATTCAACGGCAGTTATAGGCGACTTGCCAGCGATCGACACTCGCCACGAGAGCCGCGATCCAGAACCTCCCCCCTCCTCAGACTTCACGCCAAGAACGACCAACCACCTCCAAGTTGGCCACTCCAAGGTTTTCCGCGGGCTATGTATACGAAGCCCAACAAACTAGAAGTAAACATACTCTCGACAGTGCGAAAGATGGACTAGATTTGCTTCCCCTTGTCGGGGAGTCATGTGCTCATCCGCGTTTCTTCAACCTCACGCTCTTGCAGGCACGACTTAAAAATCAAGAAGAAGAAGAGACGTATACGAAACGAACCTAATCGCCCAGAAAATTCGAGAGGCTGAGGTGGGTTTTGAGAGGGGGCTTTGCTGCGGGTTGCGGTCGCGGTTCCCTTCGCCGACCCGGAAGTTTGATGGACGACCGGGGGGGAGTGGGCTGGGATGGGGAGGCTTGCTTTTGTGCCCAGCAAGCTTCCTTTTTTGAGCGGACATGAGCTTTTCGTATTGGTATCAGGTGCTTGATTTGACTTGGGTGCGGGGAAATGCGGGTTTGATTTTGAATTGTTGTGAGAGGTGGCGTTGCAGACTCTCGACGAAGGATTCTTCGTGCAAGATGGGCAAGGAGGACCAAGGTAGGGGTTGGGCCGCTGTGGTGAGGTGTCTAGCAGGTGATTAGAGAAGAGTTCTTCTAGGTGAACATAAGAAATGAAGTGAATTGATGATTTGGTCTGATATGGAGATATGTACGAATCAGACGTCAGACATAGAAGCATGTTATCGTGATCTATTAGGTATCACTACTCGTAGCTGGACTCACCGGTCCAGCAAACCAACTCCAAACCAGCACTTTCCGGTGCCGCTCCCTGCGCATCTCCGTAATTTGGCTACATAGCTTACACCTTTTCGGTGTGAAGTGAGGACTGGCGCTTAGTCATGGCCTCCATGGTCTCGAGATCGTTGACATCACCAATGATGGTGCCACGTCGTTCGTCATGGTAGCCGATTTGTGTGGCGCGGAAGCCATCCAGTTCCTTGCGGCAGACGGTGTTCAAGTAGATGGGAAAGACGAAGGAGACGAACATGCCGGCCAACGGAACACCCATGGCCTTGTGATAGTCGGACGCATCGGCCGCCAGGCCTGTCAGAGACGGGAACAGTGCACCACCGCTGACGGCGGCGACGATCCACGAGGAGCCACGCTTGGTGTGACGACCGAGGCCGCGGATCGAGAGCGTGAAGATGGTGGGGAAAATACAGGACTCAAAGAACAAGACCAGGGAGAGCAGGGCCACGCCACCCTCACCCCAGACGCCCATCGCACAGGCAAGGAAGATCATGATGGCCGTCATGAACACCATCAGCACGATGCGCGGCTTGATGAACATGAACATGCCGGCCGCGGCGAAACGACCGATGGCGAACAGTGCCTGGCCGATGGCGTATCGGTCAGAAGCTGCGGCGTGGGTAAGACCGGCCGACTCGATGGTGTAGTTGATGAACTGCGAGGCAACGGCGACTTGGGCACCCACGTAGGTGAACTGGGCCGCAACACCAAAGAACAGCTTGTACTGCTTTCGCAGAGGCTTCTCCTCGTAACCGGTTAAGTCGGCGCACTGCTCGGCTTGAAGAGCCATGTCGGCATCGGTAACTTCGGGAAGTGGGGTGAAGAAGAAGACGACGGCTAGTAGGAAGACGAAGGCTGCGATGCCGACGTACGTCCACTGCACGTGGGACAGGTCAGTCAGGTTGGTGTCCTTGAAGAAGACGCGGGATGCCAGTAGCGGAGCGATGACAGAGCCGATGGCTTGAAAGGACTGCGAAATCTCGAGGCGGAACTCGGACAGGCGGGGAGGACCGCAGGTGGCGATGAACGGGTTGGCCGAAGTCTCGAGCGTCGACAGCCCAGAGCCGACGATGAAGAGCGAGCCGCAGAAGCCGCCAAAGGACGAGTAGACGGCAGAGGGCCAGAACATCAGAGCGCCAACTCCATAGATGCAGAGACCAACAATGAAGGTCCAGCGGTAGCCAAACTTGCGCACCAGCCACCCAGAGTATGTCAGTGGGCCAATGAAATAAGCACCGAAGTAGGAACCCTGAAGGCCGCCAGCTTTTGCGGCGGTGATGTTGAGAGCAGTCTGGAACTTGGAGTTCAGGACATCGAGGAGACCGTAGGCGAAGCCCCAAAGAAAGAAGAGCAAGGTAACGAGAGCGATGGGTAGGATGGACTGCTTGACCGTCAGAGCCGACGCGCCGGTCAAGCCCTTATTGGCGATGCTGCGGCGGCGCCCCGTTTCAACGTCGGCAGCCGAAGGCCTTTGCTGAATCTCCTCGGTATCCATAGTTGCGATTAATATTGTGAGGAACTGAAAGCTTGATCGCACAGGGTCATATGAAGGACGAGGGAGCTAGAGAGCGAGATGTAGACCTCGAATGCGGGCGCACTGCTCTTTATGCCGGAAGGCGGGGTGGTGGGAGAGTCTCTGGTCCTGTCAAGGAAGTGATGTGCTCGATGATGGAAAGCATGTTGAAGCTGTGAATCCAGCTTGACCTATATACCAGCGTAATGGACTGACACGGTCGTTCAGAATTTCCCTCAAAACGCAGAGGATACACCTGAGGCGCCATCTGGACCATTCCCGTTGAGATGGCGAGGTAGCTACCATTGGTTAGAGCTCGTGCATCAAACCTTGTACAGCAACAGAGTTCGAGCGAGCTGGGTCGACAGTGAGCTCATCCCCACAGCTCCGACATGCATCAACTGAGGGGACACCTCGAACAAGACAAGCGCCATCGGCGAGTGCTGGGGTCGTCCTGCTTGGGCAGCTTTGGTCACCCAATTGAGTTTTTGATCTGATGACCTTTGACTGCATATCCAGTGATGAGACTGGACGAGCTGGCGATTGGTTATGAGTTGTCTCCTGTCGTTCGTATGCGAGGCTGGCCAGACCGGCAACGGAGAAACTATTCTTCGAGGCGTTCGGGCCTTCTCAGCCTGCTTGCATACATGCACCAGCTCCCGCACCAATGGAACGAAGTTGCGCTGGCAGCGGAATCCCTCAAGCAACGGAGCTCAGACTGCCCGTGGAGGTGTGACCCCGGCTTCTTACTCCTCACTCCCAACAATCGGTCACGTCTTCACAAGTTCACTCCACAAAACCGTGTCTCCAGCATCCAGGTAGGTAAACGTTCTGTATCGGCGTCACCATGTTCGGATAGCGGTGGAGGCTGTTGAGCGAGTGCGTGGATCGGGAGAGGGCGGAAAATCGATGCAAAGCTTTCAGAGAACGCCGCCTCGCGAGCCGTGAGTGGTCAGTCGGACTGTTCATCCTGTGGCGGCGTGTTTTGCGTGTCCATTCTAGTGGTCCTTTCGTGTCTCAACCAAGGGCTGGAGAGTTAAGGTTCTTCTGGAAGATGGAAAGAAGATGTGATTAACTAAGCCTGTTTTGGCGTAGTGCGGCCGTCTCGGCGAAATTGTGGAATCGCTCGTAACGCCGTCCAACACCGCTGCATCTACACCCATGCACTTCCACGGTACCGATCGGTGTCGAATGCCGTTCTTATGGCAATTCGGCTTCTGACCTTCAATTGCGCTTTTGCGTGCCTCGCATACCTTTGCCAAACACAGTCTACTGGGGTTGGTCCTCTGGTCGCCGCCCATCTCATGAGTCCATCATTTGAGCAGCTTCCGGCGTTTGATCCGCCGCCAGCCGTGATTGCTTCTCTCATTAGCCGTGGAGTCATATGAGAGACAAGCATGCCAGGGATATGCTTCGCACAGCAAAGTGTGCTTGAGCTCCCTCAAATTGCGACACCAGCAGCACATCCTGCCTTAGCTGGTGGGGTTCAGCGGCTCAGTGCTTGATGCGATGCTGGGGTGGGAACATCTGCTCCTCAAAATGCTCAGCGAGTTCCGGCGTCGACTACTTTTTCGAGTCCATCAATTCGTTTAGTGCAACATTGATTCCGAGCGCAGGCCGATTGTTCAATCTGTATCCGCTGATGCCTTTTTCTTGTGCTTCTGAGGCTTATCGGCACTCTCGCCATCCGTCCGCTTTCGCTTCTTAGACTCAACCCGATCTTCTTTGGGAGCAACAAAGGACTGCGCTCGCTCCTGGTCCTTCTGCTGCTTTCTTTCCAGTTGTTTCTCCTTGCGTTCCTGCTCTTTGGCCCGCTCTTTCGCGTGCTTCGCCAAAAAGTACTCCCCGCTTTCGATCTGCAAGTCGACCTTGGACTTTTCTTGTGGCGGTGGAAATGGCGTGTATGGCTTCTTGTCCTTGTTGGTGACTTTGAAAGGCTGGTGTCTTTTGGAGAGTGTCCGTTTTTTGAAGTTGGGCAGGAATCGATCCCAACTCTCATTCTTCAGGGTTGGATCCTTGGCCAGCTCGCGCTTGATCATAAGTTCTTTGACATGATAGATGGGGTGGATGTTGTTCATGCAGTCTTCGACGACTCTGCGCACTTCCTTCAGTCCTTTGTAGGGTCCCATCACCGCGACTGTAGCTCCTTGAACCAAGATGTATGTGTTGGTGAGGAGCTCGAGTGCCTTCAGTGTCGAGCCGTTCGGTCCCAAGAGCCGCTGCCTGCGTTTGACGAATTTCTCTTTATTCCGCAACCGGATCTTGATAATGTCCATGGCCACCTCGTCCTCGAGAATCTTGAGTGCCTGCTGGACGGGAACGCTGCGGGCTAATAACTTGATCAGGTCTCTCGCATCGAGAATCGCACTGGGATCGAAGGTCTTCCGGGTGGTATTCACGCCCATGGTACCCTCAACGAGGTTCAGCACCGCTGCAACACCGCGCTTCTCCAGCGCTCTGGTGACTAGAGGCCATGCCTGTTTCAGGCGAAGTTCTGCGTACTTGGGGAACAATATCGAGAACGAAGACTCTTCGGTGAATGTGCCTCCAAGGTTGTCTGACGGTTCAAACTTGTCGATTTTCCAGTGGTCGATACCATCGTGGTCCCACTCTTTTTCTTTGTTGTATGTCGAAGGCATTTTGCCAGCAAATTCGTGAACGATAGACAATCTACGAGGCACTGCGCCGGTCGAAACTTGGAGATCTCAGAAAAATGTCGCTTGGAGTCCGGAATTTGAAACTGCCTATATCCGAGCAGACTGGCCAATCGCGTTGTATCTACATTAACGTGAACTTCAATTGGCCGGGCAGCTGGAGGAAGTGGGGCCTGATTGCCTGATTGGAACTTGCAGGTTGCTTTTCTCTCGAAGTTGCTGGGGCTGGTGGAGGTTTTAACACCCCGTCAGGTTGCCTAAGACGGCTCACGACACTTGGAAAACTTGCCGTTGTGTAGCCCCCCAGGCGTGGTCGCCCTGGAGTGCGGCGTACGCTGCTGCCTAAGCGCAATCGAGTTGCTCCTTGGTGCCCCAACCTGGGTAGTTACATGATCCTAGACTGCGGTCTTATGCGTTGGCCAGTCCATGCCATCCACCCTTGTCAGTCCGACTATACGGTTTCGACAAATCGAAGAGACCGACGCAGGGTAGCGCGTCAAGCCGATGATAGCCGGCAAATTTTCACCTATACCACTTCCCACGTGAAGCTAACGTGACGTTCTGCTCTTACGGAAGCCGCGACCGCGCTTGGTCTGCGGAGGGAAGATATAGCCCAGGCTCTTCTCACCCGCCATCACCACTTCTCGTGTGGTCATCGATCTTGTAGACACCACGGTCAATGTATCAGTCGCTTCATTCGCTGACAAGATATACGTAGGTCGAGGACCTCGGATCTCTCCCAGATCAACCACACATCAAGGGCCTGCCGTACCTTTTCTACCCCAGCAAACAAAGCTGCAACAGTCAGTCGGACACGCCAAAAATGAACCACGCATCCTGACTTACAGACGAAGAAACGGTTGCGCGCTTTCAAGTGCCAATTCGGCCCTCGCTGCTGACAAGATTTGCTCAAAAGTAGCCGGATCAGTCAAACCCCGGCTCAGGACTGGGTATCGTGCGACTGCCTCGATGAGCGCCTGCATATTCGCCAAATTCTTCTCTCCTATCTTTTTACTCCGCGAATCCCACCCACACGTTGGAACCTCGATCGAGCGAGTCGATACGTTCTGGAATCTCGCCGTCCGCAACATATCTTCTAACTGCGTCACCTGCGTCAGCCTCTTTCCTGCCGGCTGTCTCGACTGATCCAGAGCCATGTAGTACAACCGTGTCCATTCTCGAAGGGCTTGCAGCTTGTCATCCTCGCCATTGTTCGATCGAAAGCTCAAATCCCATTCCATCAGCTGTATCCAGCCACCGTCTCGCAAGGTCCTGTAGTCGTCATCATCTTCATCATCATCAGATCAGATCCATCCACCGTGTCAGTCTTACCTGAAAAGATCGGACAGATACCCCGGCCATCGATATCGACTCAGCCCTCCCGCAATGAACCTCGAATGAACAAAATCAATGGAGCTGCTTGCGAGGGTAATTGTCTCGTTGAGATCCGCTATCTCCAAGGAGCAGTTCTCGGGAAAGTCTGTGGCCAGATGGAGGGCTATGTCGAGGCCAATCACCAGGCAGTCCGGATCATACTCTGCCACCTCGGCGCACCAAGATGCTGTACCGAAGCCACAGTCAAGGACGTCTCTTGGTTCGCCAACAAAGCTCGGATACAGCCCATGGTGTGGCCATGCATCGCTCAGCGCGTCGCCGAGGATATCTTTTACTAAATCGTGCTGCTGCTCCAGCCTGAATCCTTCCTCCTGTTATACATTGTGTCAGCTCGGGCCGTTTCAGGGGCATTGGACCCTACATCATCGACAGGTGCTAAGTTGATCTCGCGTTCTAGGGAATATGTCTGATAAGTCCGCCCAAACTTATCGAGCGTGGCTTTAAACCTGTCTTCAACGTCGATCAAGTCGGCTTCGTCCGACATTTTCGCTGTTGGGCGGAACGACTGGGCTTCGCAAAGCTCGAAGTCTGCGCTACTCAAGAAATCAATCGACGCTGAGCTCAAAGACCAAGGAATACCAGATGCCGGGCACCTTGAGAAAGTCAGGACTGATAGCACTTTCAAACGTGGCGCAAAGGTTGGGCCTTCATGGAACAGGTTAGTCTCCACCTAGGGCCTGACTTTCAGTGGATCCTCGCATTCGAAATACAAGCATGAGTGCGCTGTCAGGTAGCGCGAGCACCTGGACCTAAGTTGACAGTCAGTCAGATCCGCCCAAAATGATTTAGGGCTATACCCTAAGGACGGCCGGGTCGTAGCGTTGCACTGCGAGGATCACAGTGTCCACTCGATATTCACTGACCTGTCAAGCATGCAGGGATCCTTCAAATGCCGGCGAACCTCTAGCTGGATCCGGTGCTGGAGTGACAAAGTTATGTTCGAATACGCATACTTGATTCCAGCGTGGCGTCAGCCTCGCTTCCTCTCCAGAGTGTGCTAGTGATCCACAGTGTGCGGTACTACAACGAGAACTGGCCAACACGACTGCTCATTCGTAGAGTCTGCCTTGGTACAGCTACATTGGACCTTGGCCCAGATGCCACCCGGGTGCGTCAATGATGTAGTTCCACAACACTCCAAGGGAATGGGTGCCACGTCACGCAGTCAGATGATGCTACAGGAGGGTTAGACCTCGGAAACGAAAACCCTCGAGCACTTCGCGCGCTGTGGCTGCTCTGGCCGGACTGCAGTGGTTTACCGATACTTTGGTTCTACCCACACTGTTACCGATCGAAACCTGTCAAAGTGCGGAGCGAGCCGCTGGGAAGCCGCTGAGTCTTGATGGAAGTTGGTGGGTACCCGACTGACCACAAAATTATGCAGCCCCTGGTGCTCATGAAAGGCTGGATCCTCCTCTGTCACTACTGGTGTGTCAAAGGCTTCGAATCAGAATTCCACTCAGCACCCCACAGGTCACCGCAGAATTTTCGATGCAGGTTGTATCATGCAGCATCAGCCGTTAGCTACCAGGGGGACTTGGCCGGTATAGTCGAACCGCATGTGAGATGTGCCGGGGTCCCAGGGAGCGCAGCATTGGGGCTGTGGGATAGCTTATCAAGCCTCCTTGAGGGACCAGTCCCGGTTTAGTGAGCCCGTAACCCATGGTGTGGGCCATGTGTGGAAAGGTGCAAACCTTTTAGCCGGACGTTGGCGAAGCATATCCGTATAGCTTCGCCTCTGCCCTGCCGAACAGAAAAGCATGTAAAGAGCGAAAGCCAGCTTTGTGATATTCGGTGCAGCCCAAACCTGCACTGCACCCTCAGCGCAGCCCAGACAATCGGGTTTGAAAAGCAACGAAGCGAATTGAAGCTACGCTCAATCCAGGACGGCATGCTGGAGGGACTGTAGAAAGGGTGTTACTATCGGGTGTTGCTACTCGCAGACGTTCTGAATGCTACCGAGGGAGTGGCTCGCGCTAAAGCTGAACAAGTCTAGGGTTGCCATGGGTTAATAGCCGAACACATGCGGTGTGTGTAGAGCGCCAGAGCCACCGTTCGGCATTCAACGTGGGACTGCCTACGATCAGTACCTTCGCCACCGAACCTCCGGTGAGCTCAACATACGTCCACGGGATGTTTCAGAGGCTGTGCCTCTCCATCGCTGCCAGCGCATCCAATACGACTTATACGACTTTAGCCCAGCAACCAACCTGGCACTCTGACCCGCTGCACCCCCTGGTGCTGTGAACAGGCTGTGGTACCAAAGCTGCTTTGTTCAGCATCGGAGCCGATCAAGGTCTCACAGGGCCATGCCGTTCTATGCGAGCTGACTTCAATCTTGGGAGCACGTTTTCCAAGAAAGCATCATTACCGTCTATCCGAGATTTACCAATACAGAAGTGGGCGAGATCCGAAAATCGCTGCGGCGGGCCCGCGGGTTGCGAAACTCGGTTCTGATTTCACTTTTTTCTACGTATATGTGGATGCCCGGGGCTGCACCGAGCGCTGTAACACGGCCTGGAATTTCCTGCTTCTGAGCCAGCGATGATTGGTGATGATAGCTTGGGTACCCTGGCAGGACCAGAAGGACGGTACAGTAACAGACCCATCTTGCGCACCTGCCTTTGCATCGCCGAGAGTCAGTCAGATACGCACAAACTGTGGTGAAGGGCTTCCCGTCCCACGTGGCGGTTCCGAGCCCTCTCTACTGAACATCCCTATCAGAAACTTTCCATCAACTCTTTCAGCGTGATAGGCTTGCGCACCGCGTTCGAGAACCCCTCATTGAACGACACCCACACGCGTTCCGTCTCCTTCACTTTCGTCTCCCTCCCTGGCTGCTGCTGCTTCCTACCCTCCCAGTCACCATTTGATGACCTAGGTCTATCATCCTCCTGCTTGATGACCCTGCCGAAGAAGTCGCGCATGACCACCTCCTCCACCTGCTTCTCCAGTGCTATAGCACTGCTCCGCGGATCCGCGTTCTCTTTGTCCTCGTCTCCATCCTGACCCTGCTGCTGGTGCTGCTTGAGAAGAGCGCTCGAGCGACCATTCCGCGCCAATGAGTTCTGCAGCAGCTTCTCCTTCCGCAGCTCCTGCTCTAGGACCTGCCGCACGGCGTACCTGGTCGGCAGCGGAGCCGGCGCCGTTGTCGTGGTTCCCGGTGGTGATGATGATCTGTCAAAGTGGAATGCCGTGAGCGTATCTAGTGGTCTGTACATGCAACGGCTTTTGGTCAGCGCTGCTGCGAATACGGGGAAATTTCAGTGAAAGCAAGGACAGGGTTCTAAACTCACGGTTCCATGCGGTACACGAAGGCGGCTCTGGCGCCTGGCCCGGCAGCGGCGTCGACTTCGACCTTCACTCTTTCGAACTTGACGTCGAGGCCGTTCATGACGCGCACTGCGTTCTGCACGCACTTCTTCTCCGTCTCTTTGCGCACGCTCGCTACGCTTGCAGGCCCACCGCTACTGCTGCCGCCGATGACGACGGGCTTAACGTCCGGCGCGAGCATGCGGTTCACGCTCGGCACGAGCTCTGTGGCCATGTTGTCGATGGAGCTGTAGAGGCGCAGGAGGGGCGCGCAGAACGAGGCTTGTAGCTCCGTGAGGACTGTTTTGTTTTGTTTCTCGGCTTCGTGCGCTGCAAAGTCGGCTCGCGCGCCGCTGAACGGGTGTGCTGCGGCTTCGTTGTCGTCGCCGCCGCGCTGCTTCTCGTCGTTCCAGGTGTTGTGGCCCTTGTCGACGCCCGCAAACAAATGGTGGAACGCGCATGCGCCGGTGTTCATGTAAGGGTTCAATTCCCATTCCTGGCTGCCGTAGACGCGCTGCGAGAGGCTGTCGTGGAAGTGCAGCCAGTCATAGGCGGCGTTGGGCTTGGAGAGCTGCGTGTCGTCTTGGAAGACCTGGCTGGGGTACGTGCTGAAGCAATCGGTCATGAGCCGGTCGTGCTCGCCGCAGGTGTCGATCATTTCACGAAGTGCCGTGATGGCGGCGCGCTTCCGGATGTCCGCGACGCCGACGGGCTTGGATTGCGCTTCAGCGACGAGCCGCGTGTCTTCTGCGGAGAGGGCCGTGGGCAGGTTGGGCAGGCCGGCGCCCTCGATGAAGAGGCGGTCGAGGACTTCGCGAGCACCGCCGCGGCCAAGTCCCTTTTGGCTCGCGGCGCTGCTGCTGTGGCCGTTGTGAGCCTCTACCCATTTGCGGGTCAGGCGTGGTGGGGCATTGGGGTCCTTGGTTTTCGTTACACGGAATTTGTGAGCCATCCACTCCGCTTGTACCAAGATGCCACGAAGATCACCTTCGCCTGCTCCTCGGCCGCCGAGGCTGTTCTGCTTCCGAGTGCCCATGCCCCAGGCTCCTTCGCAGATGCGCCTGACGGCGTCATTGTCGCAGGGAATGCTCTCGGCATCGAAAACGTTCTTTAATCTGCTAATGACTTTGTCAAGCCCAGGTTTTCGGACGTGCACAATCTCCGCCAAACCGGATGTACGAAGGGGCCGCAAGGAAGGGGCATAGATGTCGTTGCAGACGAGGATCAGTGGCCGAAGCATCCGGAACTTGTCGCCTTTCCTCTTTCTTGCAGGGTTGGTTGACTGCTTGTCAGGGTTATTAGTATTGTGCTGATCGAGATGGACAAGATCAATCAGTGCCTTCATGAAGCCACCATCGCCACTCCCACCAGAGCCCGTCACGACACCGTCGACTTCATCAACAACCACGCAGATAGGCTTTCCTGCTCGTCTGTCCTTGCCCGCCTCTTTGATCCCACGTACGGTTTCAGTCCCCAAAATGTCCTTGATGCGGCCTTTGACGACATCCTTGCTACGATCATCACTGGCGTTGATTTCCAAGGCCTCATAGCCCGCTTTTCTTGCGCAGACATGTGCGAGTGTAGTCTTGCCGAGGCCTGGAGGTCCAGTCAGCAACAGAATCTTGCGATGCTGCCACTCTCCGTTTGCATTCTTGTCCTCGAAGACGCGCTTTGCTCGAGGTTTGGCATTGCCCGGAAAGACAATGTCATCCCAACCTTTGAGCCAGCGCAGCACCTGACGATGCGTGCGTTCATCGCCTACGAGGTCTGTGAAGCGCTTTGCTCGGTATTTCTCGGTCCACATCTGATGATCGCTTGCTTTCGTTCCCACTCTGTTGGAGACGTTGGAGTCGCGGGAAACCGGACGCTCCTCTTTATTGAATTCCTGCTGTTGTTTCTCGAATTCAACTTGGGCGCTGTCTAATTGCCGTTGCTGCTCGGCTTCGTGCATCAAGTGGTGGATGTCAACTCCGTAGTAGGCCTTCTTCGCCCGACCAGCCGTAGTAATAGATCGCCCAGCCACCGTCTGTTCGTAAGTCTTGCGCGTGGACTCGGTGCGAATAGCGATCCTGAACGGTGCTCCGGAGCTTGTTCGAGCTTCAAGTCCAGCATCGGCACGGCGACGTAGCATAGGCTGAGCAAGGATCGTAGGAATAGATGACAGATCATTCTGGCTGAGGTTTTCTGGTAGAACGTCGTCGATGTCTACAGCGTCGTCCACTATTGGACTTACAGGCTGCTGGCCAGCCTTGGCTTCCTGGGCAGGTTCGATGCTATGGGCAAGAGCTGCATGATCGTCGCCATGCTCGTCGTCCTCAAGAAACCCACCAACGATCTTGGGCTTCTTCTGTGCAGGAGCTGCGCCGAGCGTCTGAAATAGCCTCCGTTTCTTCGGTGGCTGCTGAGGCGGAGAAGAACTGGCTGGGTATAGCACCGGCGAAGAACTGAAGGGCATCGCTTTCCTCTTCAGTGGGAGATTTGCAGAGGGCGTACCTGGTCCTGGTGACGAGGTTGGCGGAGAGGAGGGTGTATCGATATCCGTGATTGTCTCGCCGAGTCTGTGGCCAGGCTTCGTTGATGCGTTCAAGCTTGACTTCTGGTTTGACACATGCTCTGCGTGGATATTGGCAAGTCCATCAGAATCAATATCGGAGGATGGTGCAATGGCGACGCTATTGAAATCCATTAGAGAGGGGTCCTGGCCAGGTTGAGTGCATTTGCTGGTACTTCGTCGAGATGGAAGTGCAGAACACGCTTTAGCTCTTTCGACGCGTCCCAGCGCGTCACGCTTAGCTGGTATATCTCGGCCACCGTAGCACTTCACTACCCCACTTTCTACCTGCCGTCACAGACCATCTCTCAACCTATGCGCCATCGACATTCCTCCTTCTGAGACCACATTGCTGCCATTGTCCATCACAATGATCGCGGTATCGCGGTCGCATATATCACGCGCCTCAGAAACCGAATTCATCAGACCTTGCCCGCCCTAAGGTGGGTTTATAGTACAATGCACTCCCCAGCTTCCAGTAATCGCAGTACAAACATGCGCGAGAACATCGCTGATGCTCCTGCAAAGACATTTGCGGAGTGAGTCGCTCCTTGCTGATCTCGATAGTGCTCCCCATGCTGACGCGCGCTTCGAGACTACTGTCCGGTCCTCTCCTCGACATCTATGTCGGACTAGAGCAACGGCACTGGGCCTTGCACCAGAACTTGCTGATCCATCATTCACGCTTTTTCGATGAAACATTTACCGTTAATGGCGAGCACAAGAGAATAAAGGAAGGGAAGCTGTATTTGCCCGATGAAGATCCCGAGGCGTTCGAGCTTCTTGTAAAGTGGCTATACCAAGGCCGAATCGAGGATGTCTCCCAAAAGCCCAAAGAGGCCAAATGGGATTACGCCTTTACCTGCCAGAAGCTGTATATCCTCAGCACAACTGTTGGCCTTAACGAGCTTCAGAACCTTGCCATTGACCAATTTCGCAAAGGCTGCCACGACTCAGCTCTCGTTCCTGGTCCAGAAGAGATGATTCCCATCTATCGAAAGACTGCATCTCACTCGCCCTTTCGGCGCCTGGTGAGCAAGATCGCGGCCCGCCAGATCATGGATCCAGATCACCAGCTAGACGCAGGTACCTACCGCGACTGCTTTGAGGCTAGCCCGGACTTTGCAGTCGATGTAATTAACGAAATTCGCGCTGGCACGAGCGGCATTTTACTCGATGATCCAACTGTGGGCAATTCTTGCAACTTCCACGAGCATGAGGACGGTGCATCTTGTCACAAGTCGGTAAAGTTCAAAAACGGTGTTAAAGGCCCTGCTTGACTCGTTCCGCTTTCCTTGACCGCCTTTGGGCTGAGGCTGTGGCTGTGGCATCGATTGTCGCTCGGCCCGAAACGTTGGATCCAGCATTATCTTGCTTCTCTCTCCGACCGAACTACTGAGCAGGTATCAAGCAACAATTATTCCGACAACCAATCACAATTGGAATTGGACGTCTTGTCAATCGTGCGATCCACCTGGGTGACTCCGTAACGGGCAATTAACGGACTCGAATTGCGTACATGTACGAGAAGCGGGAGCGAGGAAAGTATATCCGTACAGACATATCGCTTCGGGGTATGTTGGCGACGAAATCACGTGCATTGCTTCGAGTCGGCCGAGTATGGTCACGTGTTCGACTGCCAGACGCAATGCACATACATCATCTCCTTTCAACCAGACGGCGCTTCCACCAGTTAGCGCTCAAAGGCTGGTCGAAATGGTTGTAGCTAGTTTGCAGAATCCAAGCAACCGCACACTTGTTGATTTGTCAGCCCAAGGACGCTGCGCTGTCGCTTTGTGCAATCGCCTCCCAGGGCTTTCCAAGAGAATTTAGACTTTGACCGTTCGTATATATAGGAGGTTGCTCCTTAGCCGGTAGCCTCATTGTACCGCTCGTCGATTCACATCTCTAAAGTCCAATCTCAAGCCATGTCGGAATTGAAGCCCATCACCCTCTGGTCCCACGCTGGAGGGCCCAACCCTTGGAAGGTCGCCATGATCCTCAACGAATTGGGCGTGCCATATGAGAACAAGATTCCCGAAGGCACGAAGTTGAAGCAAGAACCCTACACGACCCTCAACCCCAACGGCCGCGTCCCCACCATCGAAGATCCCAACACCGGCATCGTGCTCTGGGAGACCGCCGCCATAATCCAGTATCTCATCGACACCTACGACAAGGACGGTAAGATCTCCCACGGCCCCGGCGAACTCAAGTACAAGGAGCTGCAGTGGCTTGCTTTCCAAGTCAGTGGTCAGGGCCCCTACTTCGGCCAGGCGACGTGGTTTCAGGTCTTCCACCCGGAGAAATTGCCGTCGGCGGTGGAACGCTATCAGAACGAGATTGTGCGCGTCAATGGCGTGCTGGACGCGCATCTGCAGGGCCGTGAGTGGCTGGTTGGCGACAAGTGCACGTATGCGGATCTGGCGTTTGTCACATGGGCGAACATTGGGAATGCTATGGATGGTGGGAAGAGTAAGGAGAAGAAGTTGGAGGCTTATGATGCTTGGTTAGCGAGACTGAATGAGAGGGAATCGGTCAAGAAGGCTTATGCTGATCAGGAGGAGGCGAAGAAGGGGAAGTGGGCCGTTTGATGAGCACGAGATAGGTAGCCCAGCGAACGTATACTAATCGACTGGCAAATCATCGTGCTACAGACCAAATTCGCAGGTCACATTCCTAAACATCCCCTCAAGCCCATTGGAAACTGTGTGAAACGAAGACAGGGTAGTCAATGAGAGCACTTGGGGTAGGCCGAAGGTCTAGGAGCAGTATAACGGGGTTCCAAAAGGGTGCAGAGGTTGCGTCAAGACATGGTCCTCCTCGTCGAGAAGGTACGACCACTGCGATTCGGCTCACAATGTGAGGTCACAGTTTGTTAATTTTGCTATGGTGTCATCAATGCCTTGCTCGGGAAGACTTGTGTCGATGTACTCAAGTTGAAGTATTCATATTGACAGCGCACGTGTATTGCTCCACTTTGAAATCGCAGCCAATCACAGCGCTCTATAAACGTCTGACAAGACGTTCACGTTGAACGAGCTTGGCCTTTTGCTTTTGATCCAACATCACATCTGGCCTTTCGCCTCAATTCACGCCTCTTTGTTTCGTTGAGAGGCCGCTCAGACGATCTAGTCATTCTTCGTGCCCAACCAGCATCGACCGCAGATCCCAAAACGCCCGCCATGGCCGACCAAGCCACCTCCGCCGGCCCCTCCATTGCCGAGAGTATGGATGCGGCCATCGCTTCCTTCTTCGCTTCACACAATCCTGTCACCTATCTACTACTTGCCATCATCACCATAATCCTAGTCTACCCACTCTTCACGTCTTCTGACCCGGATATACATCCGTTCCTGCTCGCACGGCAGTCATCGGCGGCCCCAATCCGCAACCCTGGCGAGTCTTCCGTCTACCGAGCCTTGGATGTCCCACATGGCTATCCTCTGAAGGCAAGTCTGGGGGTCAAGGACCCTGGCGCTCCGAAGTGGACGTCTGGGAGACAAGGGGACCTGAGGGACGTCCTTGCCAGGGCAGTACGAGGCCCACCTGCCCAGGATGGGAGCGGCTACGATGCCACCAAGGTTGGTAAGGTATTCACGCTGCTTGGCAAGGACAAATCCACCCCTACAGAAATGGCCGAGGTCATGCGCATCGTCAATGCCATTGGTGGCTTCACCAAGGGGAAAGTAAGCGGTGATGGCAAAGTAGCAGTATGCCTGAGCAACAGCCTCGAATTGTTGGCGGCTATCTTCGGTATGTGCTTTCTCAGAAACAGGTCTCTTACCGTTGTGCTATAGCTAACCGCTACAGCTGCCGCTTTCTACGACTTCTCTGTCACGCTCATTCCCTCTGGTTTGCCGCAGGAGCTCGTCGACCATCTCCTCACGCAAATCGACGTTCACGTCCTCGTGGCTGAGGCTGGCGCGCTAGACCTTGACACCGCGCTGCCCAACTGCAAGTCTTTAAAACAGGTCATCCTCCTCGCCAAGCCCGACAACAAGCACATGGCCTGGGACGAAACCCCTATGCCCTCCGGCGTAGAAGTCGCCACCTGGCATGACATTCTCGACCAGTCCTCCGCCACCAATGAAGTCCCCACCATCGAGAAGGACGCCGCCAAACCCAAGCCTCTTGGAACTTTCTTCATGAACTCCGCCGGCGAACTAGAGCTCTCAGAGCTTTCTTCTGAAGTATCACCCCCGTCACCCTTGAACGCCCACACCCCTTACTGACCAAACACCAGAACCTCGTCTCCGGCACCGCCGGCCTCCTCTCCACTCTCCCACGCACCGGCCCCCTCTCCCCTACCGACACCCTCCTTCCCACCACCCATCTCAGCCAGCCCTACACGCTCTGTTGGGCCCTCGCCGCCCTCTATAGCAACGCCTCTCTCGCCCTCACCTCCGTCTCAGGCCCCCGCGTGGACCTCTTCGCCGCCCTCGCTTCCTTCAAGCCCACCATCCTCGTCACCGCCCCCGGCACCCTCAACAAATACCTGCACAACTGGACGCACACCGGTCTTGGCCCCGGCCGCATCTCCCGCTTCTGGCAGCGCCGCTCCCTGCGCGCGGGCATCATGCCGAAGCGCAAGCCCGTCCCCGATCTGAATGCGCAAGAAGTCGTGTTTCTCATCGTCGACCTGCAGAGCCTGGCGCAGGTGCGCGCTGTGTTTGTGGGGCAGGAGGTTGAGGGGCCCGTAGGCTCAGCTGCGCCTGAGGACCGTCTGAGCTCAAAGGCGGCGGACGAGCTGCGCGTGGACTTGGGCCTGCGTATTTCGACCGCGTTGGTGGATGGGCGCGTCGCGGGCGCGGTGGCGCAGTCAAATCTGCTGGATTATCGGGCAAAGAACGCGGGTGAAGTGTGCGTAGGTCCGCCCGTGGGGAGCGTGGAGGTGTGGGTTAAGGGCGAGGAGGAGGCGATGGGAGGGCCGACGCCTGCTGGGAAGGTAAGTTTTCCTTTCTGCTGGTGAATTTGATCATATGTGCTAACGGATTTTTGCAGATTATGGTCAAGGGGCCGGCGGTCGTGGCCGGCACGGTGGAGCTGGGTGCGCGGGCCAGAGTTGATACTGATCATACATTGGTTCTGCAGTAGATTCGCCACCTGCGCAACCCGGGAATGTGGTTGGCTATCGGACGTCCACGAGACCTCGCAGTACTATACAGAATAGACAATACTCCCCACGCGCTCTCGTGCCCTGTTTCATGAATGTATCTGCCGGAGCTGCTCCAGTAACACCAACGACCGCCTGTCCATGTTGTCGCCGGCGAGTGCCTTCACCTCGGCCTCCGCCGCCCTGACCTCGCTTCCTGCGTGTTTCAAGAGACGGTGGAAGTCATCACGACTCATCATGATCACCGCGCCTGGGATTTTGCTCGCAAACTTCAGTCCGCTCCATACCGGCAACAAATTCTCCAGTCGCTCCTGTGCCTCGCCTAGGTTGGTATGTTGGTTATCTGTCCTGCTCTTCTGTCGTGAGAACTCTGGCATCGACAGGCTCGTCAGCCCGCTCTCAGACGACTTGGACAGGGCGAGCACTTTGGCGACTGCGCGGCTGACCTCGCCATCGGTGTCGGTGGGTTTGGAGGAAGAATAAAAGGCGCGTGCAGCGGTCATGTCGAGCATGATGGCGCTTGGGAAAAGGCTCCGCCGCATATCCAGGTGTCCCTGGGCGTAGTTTGTCTTATTGCAGTGGTCGCCTTTCTGAAGCATATAGACGATGAGCTGCGCCTGCCGAGCGGCCTTTTCGAAACCTTCGCCTTGGTAGGATGACTCGAGCGCGCGACGATGGCATCCCAGCAGGAGCTCGCGTAGGAGGAAGGGCTCGGAGAGCCGAACATCGGTCCGTTTGGCCTGCTCTGCCAATTCGATGATGAACCGCTGCATGCCGAGCTTGTTTGCTTTACGGGTGAGTTTCTCAAGGAATTTGGCGGGAACAGGCTCGTGAGATGATTTCATGCCTTCGAGGAAAGGAAGGAGGTTGGACCATGAGTCGGGGTCAGGTGTTTCGCCCAACAGGCTCGTTAGACGCGCAAGAGATTTTCGTTTCTCAGGCCGCTCCGCATAAGACATCGGCCGGAGCTTGACATCTTCTTCATCTGTTATGCTCACAGTGACGCCAGGGTCGTTGGTGAGGATGTGGTGTTTGCTCGGACGATAGATCAGGTGCTGGTGGTTCTTCGATAGATTTTCGGGAATAAAGAGTGTTTCGCGGTACTGTGATAACAGTGTGTCGAGCTCGGGTTGTGATGTAGGTTTGAAGCTTGGGAATGCTGTTCATTGAGTCAGTGAGTGTGCTTCTGGAGGCTATGGAAAGCTCACTTCTGCCCAGTGGAGCGGTACTGCTGTATCCTCGTACAAAGGAGGATTTACAGCTGTTGCAGATGAATGCAACAGCTTTCGTTCGAGGCGCCATCACAATAGATGCCTGTGCACAGAACAAGACGGAGCAATGTCGAGGGCGTTCTAATTGCATTGCCATGATGGACGACGGCGCAAGTAAAATCTTGGGCTTGGCGCGGCGCTCCGCAAATGTTGCGCGAACATCAGCTCGCTCCGGTCATCTCGACAGCGACCACGTCCACGCAGACATCTACGGAAAGAGCTCGTCGCCATGGCTCAGCCAACATCACATCGTGTGGCGTCATGCTGTTACAAGTCGTTTGTGCGGGACCTCACGCGACAGCTACAGCCCAGGCGATCGATGGTCACGATCCAACGGGGCCGCCCCGAGAAGATCAAGCCACCTGAGGACCTGCCGGATACTTTCTGGTCACAGCTCCCCAACAGACTACGCCCTGACCATGGTATGACTGAACGGCTCCGACTCCGGAATACCTACTGACCTGGGACAGGGAGACGCGAGATCATCATTCATCAAGCACCACCCGCCGAGCGAGAGCAATGCAAAGAACCCCTCAAAGTTGTCGATGCGGCAGAACTAGCAAGGCTAGATCCAACAGGAGCTCGGTCAAAGCTGTTTGATGCAGAGAACAGAGACAGAGCGAAGCCGGGCGATATTCTCCTCGCAACTTTCAAGGGCGGCGAGCCTTTCTCCGGCGTTATTATGTCGATAAAAGGGTCCGGTCCTCACAAAGCAGTTCTTCTCAGGAACCACTTGACGTCTATCGGGACTGAGATGAGCATCAAGGTTCACAGTCCAGGGGTCCAGAGCATGGAGATCGTGCAACGTGCACCGAAGAGGAAGAGGAGGGCCAAGCTGACCTATTTGAGGAAGCCCAAGCACGATGTTGGCAGTGTACAGAAGATTGTGGATCAGTATATGAGAGAGCGGGCATTATTGACCGGCAAGAAAGTGGCAAGTACAGGTTTCAAGAGGAAGAAGGGGAGGAGGTAACGGCGACTGCCGATGGCATGCAATTCAGCATCAGCCATAGCAAGGCTTCTGTCACAATAAACAACAACTGTACCATCAGCCTCCGCCGGAACTGCAGCTCTCGCATTTGGACTATCACATGTCTCCTTTCACCTCACACCCAAGTCTCTACGAAGATCATTGGCAGCCTTTCTCTTCCCATTCACTGTTGGGGGCAAGACTCAGATGCGTTGATGGACCTCCACTTCACATCCATATGCCACCCAACTGCCCTGGTTAGCTTTCTTTCGGCTTACTTATCAGGCAGGTGTCTTCCCTCTCTTCCCTCCTCTACACTATCACTAAGGCATACTCGATGACTTCTCCTGACCCAAGCGCTCATAGGGTACGACCAGATCTTCCCAAGATGGTAGGACTATCACGGTCGACGGCTTCTCCTTCGAGTGACTTCGTCATTAGGTCACCGTTGGCTTCTGATTCTGCACAACCTCCCAACGTTCCTTCTCCACTTGGCCCCGACCAATATCACCTCGATCGGGACAATTCTCTATTAACTTCGCCTATAGAGGTGCCATTGGTGAACGAGAACAATCTCTGCACACGGTCAAGCGGTAGAGAAACTCCGAATACCAAGCAACCGCTTGTCCATCCTACAAAGGCTGCCACTACCTCCCCTTCAGTCGACTACCCTCGCCGCCTACCTGCCCCGAATACAAGCCCTGCATTCAGTGTCATGGAGGATATCTCCAACAAGGAAGGCGTGGCTGAGACAGCGACTGACTTCATCATGCTCAACGGGGTCAAGTACTTGCCCGATCAATCTCAGACTATCAATTCAGGTGCGCACATCCATCCTGTAACCAGTATGCATGCCCGCGCCCGCTTTGAATGCCTGGTCAATGAACTTGCTGAAGTCTGCCCGGGTCCTGCAGGCATGGGTCACATTGACATTCCTGCAGGCGATGATGGACCCGAGCAAGCTCTTGGCCGTTGGCTTGAGACTTGGAATCGCTCGAAGCCCCTCGATCGAAGCGGCGCCAGCACTCCAAAGCAAGACCATGATGGAGACTCTTCATCCAAAGTCATAGTCACTTTGATCTTCGAGTAAGTTGTCCGTATCCACAGTTATTCCGCCTTAACGCGAAGCAGCTCACAATGTGCGAACGACATGGACACCCCACTTGGCGGCCGCAAGATCATCCATATCTCTCAACGCAAGCTCGAACGCATCCTCGGTCCAGAAACGGCCCGATCTAAGCTCCAGGAGATTCGTGGTGGCCGAGTTGTCCTACAAGATGTGTTGCCCACTACTTTCAACGCTATCCGCAAATGGCTATCGGGGAAGGCCATCATGCACACCCTGCCCATTGCCGTGAGGGACAAGCCCCTCCGAGAGCTTGTTTACATCTATGTTCAAGCCGCTCGATGGGGTCATCGTTCCATTGTTCACGATGCCGTCAACAACATGCCATCAACCGGCACTCCCTTCGAATTTCTCGAAATATGTGCCATAGTGTACAGCGAAGGATGTGCTGGTGTAGCCTTCAGGAACTTCTTCAAGAAGGGGTTGCCTGTGGTGCTGGGAAACTCCACATTCGATCAGACCGACAAAGTCCCCAAAGTCCTTAAACAGTCAACAGAGTTGGCCACTGACTTCGCTGAAACAATGCTAGGCTTGGTTAGCCAGCGAAAGTACGGCAATCACGCTCATCACATTGGTCCACAACCTTTCCCAGCCTTCACCGCCCGCGATCCTGAGCCTGTCTGGTTTCAACCACCTGAACCTGCCTTCTGCGCCTGTGGTCTTCATGAGTGTACCTGCACATCGGATACCGCCAGCGTTACTCGACCTTCTGACACGCATGCCATCCCTCGCCGCTCGGGCTATGTCGAGAGTGCTTCTTCCAGCGTGATGGGGGTCGAGGACTGGTCTAAAACTCCACCGTGGGGCCAAAACGATGGCGGCGCTGGGTGGGACTACTCTCATCGACCCGTACCGACCGGTGGAATTATTCCTGCTCCTCCGATGAGTATTGGAGACGCCGAAGACCAGCCCATTCGTCCACGCAACTGGAGTAGTGCTCACTTGGGCCAGGGCTCAGAATGGAGTGAGATCATGTCTGCCAACGAGGACGAAGCTCAAGCTTGGATGTTTGAGGGTCGTCAGGACACTCCTATGGCTCGTGGTCGATATCGTGACGAAGCTGCTGGTGGCGATCGCTCTCCACGTGTGCAATTCGCGACCCCGTCTCGAGAGCTCCTGCCGATATCACGAGCGGCTAGCGCTGGTACTTCGATTGAAGGGCGCCTTCGCGTGGTTGAGCGGAAGCTTCGTGATGGTAACCTCTGGACTCATCCCACACGTCAGCCCATCGGACTTCCTCCAAACAATGAGGAGCAGTCGCAGTCAACGAGGGTGTCAACTCGCTATGCGTTGGGCAAGACGACTGCTCCACAAGGCAAAGTACTGGCGACGTCAGATTTCCCTCCCGCACCCCTCCTGCATCCTGGATTTCCTCCTGTTGGCATGCCAAACTATGTCCCGCGCGTTGGCTACAATCGCTATGTTCAGGTTGGCAACGGCGTTGTGCATCCAACTGGTCCCGGGCCGTATGGTCTTGCAGGTCGTTCCATGATTGCGGTACGCAGCTCCAACTCTCAGGAATGCACTTTGGTCTTTCAGGCTGGCGATACCATCGAATGTGTAATTCCGGTTGAAGAAAGCCGTTCTACTTCTCAGCACAACCCTTGGAACTTTTCTGACCAGCGCTTGCAGGGAATCTGCCGTACGCAGGCGGGTTCTTTTCCTGCCAGCTATGTCCGCGAAATGTACAGCTCAACCCTCGCTCCAGGCTCGGCAGGTACTGGGGCTGGCTTCTCTAAAGAGGTCTCTACGCCTGCTGGACCGGCCAATGATCAGTCCTGCCACTCACAATCTAAGGTTCCCAATGCAGACAGCACGCCAGGCGCAGCAAACGCAAGCACCAAGGCGAATGTGGCACAGAACGTTGACAAAGATTGGCTCAAGTCCGTGGGCAACGCACACCAGGACTCACAGAATCACTTAGACCCGGGCTTCAGAGACCGAGGACGTTGTAGTTCGACACAAACCACGGCTATCAGGGCTGACCCGCATTGGCCAGGTTGTCCTGCTGAGAACGACCCGCGGTTCCGCTGCACATGTGCCGGCAAGTTCAACACCCGTGCTGGGACCAGACCCTTGACTCCGTCATCACCTTGGACGAATGATGGCTGGGGCGCTCCTGACGAACCAGTGCACGGCTCTCGGGATGTGTGGGCTGACGAGGGAAGCAATAACGGTTGGGGCTACAACACGAATCGTGATGGTCGTGCTGAACGTGGGACTGCTTGGGAGTGAAGACTTCTTACCACAGAGGAGGAGTGCTAGTGCAACCCAGGTGCTGGTACGTTGGGGTTCAAGAATGGGTGAAATGAAGTGCTACCACCATCTATCAGACTTTGCTCATTGCTGGCATCGATGTGAAGGACAAGCCGAGGAGGGGGGCGTTGGCAAAGTGGCGTGAAATGGATCATCATGCAAGCTCAGGTGATCTAAATCGTGGCTCCGGATAGCTGTAGCTGTTGTGATGGGGGCAGCAGCACCCTTGGAAATGAAGATAGACTGCTGGCTGCATCGGAAGTCACCAAAACATAAGGCGGTCGCCACGAAGACAGCACTGTTCGTTTCCACTTTCCCACTCCAAGCTGGCTTTATGAATACTCCGCTCCATCGTCATGCACCGCTCGCTATTCCTGCACTATGATTCTCCTGCATGCACCACGGTGTGGACAGCCAATACCTCAACTCGTTCCTGACTACCTAGTGAGTGACGAAGTGACCCGCAGCGCCGCGCGCCGGCGGTGGGCGGTGGATGACTGTGTGTGTCGAGAACAGAAGGCCGCGCGATGTGCTTGCTACAAGCTCTCCAAGATTCAAGCGCGAACTCGATGTTCAGAGGGTCACCACTAGTCTGCGCGACGCAGTAGCATCCAAAAGGGAAAGAAGTGGTGGGGGTTGTGGTTGCGGAGAGGAGGGATATATACATATCTGCTTGAAAGTGGATATAAACGTCCGCTCGCTGCGTGAAAGGTCACACAGATGGGAACGTCCTCGGGGCATCACTGAGCTTGTTCGATGTGGAACAATCGCATAGCATGAAATGAAGTTTCGATTCATTCGTTCACTGTGCACTCGTGAGGGAGGCTATTATATGTCTGGTGGTCCCGTCTACACCTATATGGTTTTGCTGTCGGGTACGAGGCTGACGACGTTGGTCGCCCCCTTTTTGCATTGCGTTAAATCGCCTGTCATCAGCTGCAGAGCTACTACACTGGTACCAGCTACGCTATCTGAGCCACCATCGCAATCCGAACAGCTCCAACCGCCCATAGCGGCGTTGGCCAACGCTGTGCACACTTCATGTCCGCTTACCTCATAGCTTTAGAGCTGCCTTTCGCCTTTTCATCTGGCTTTCGCCTTCATCGAAGACCCCCGTTCTACCGTCTTGGTCGATTCCCGACTCCGACTTGGAATCGCTAGGTATGTCGTAAACGGTCTGCCGATGACCAAAACTCTTAGCCATCGCCCGGGTAGTGGGATCGCCCGACTTGCTTTCAAGCATTTCATCGTACTTGGCAGCCTCCAGCCTCTTCTCTTGCTTTACCTTTCTCGCCGTCAAGATGTTGAGCTGGTGCTGAGCCGCATCGCGAGCTTTGGTATAGGCGTTGCACTCTGCTCGTTTGAGCTTCGCTTTATACTTGGATTCGTCCATGCACTCTTTTACGCCCTTGATCTGCTCGACGATTTCGCGTCGCTTGGCATATAATTCTTTGAGGGCAGCTTTTTTGGTATCAGCTTGTCGGTCGAAAGCAGTGGCTGCAGAAGAGAGACTGGTAATCGCACTGTTCTCAACGCGCAGGGTGTTGTTGGCTAAAGCGATACGGTTGTCAATGTCATCGATCTCGGATTTGATAAACAAAATGGTCTGTGAAGCTGCAGCTGGCCTTTCTGCAGGATGCTTAGCCCGACCACGATCTTGTTCAAGGTTTTGAGACACATCGTCGGCGCGCCGCGGCTTAGATGTTAAGATTGCCGGGGACCCTCGTGAAGTAGGCGATGCATCGCTGTCCCTCACGTTACGTGGAGAAGCCTTTTGGCTGTCCTTTCCGATAACGAGGCTGCCGGATGATATCGAAAGAGATGATGTACGAGATGAGGACGAAATGGAGTACGAAGGCCCAACTTCGGACTCGATTGCAGGAGTAGACTCGTCAATTTCGCTGTCTTCCGGTCCATCAGCGTTGTTCTCATAAGAGACATTTTCTACGGAAGCGACCTGAGATAGAGTAGAAGGACTTCCGGCAGGAGGGGCCACACTTCCGACACTCGTGCCTTTCTTGACAACTGCTGTGTGCCTGTCGTGCAGGAGAATGCATCTCTGGTCAAAATAGTACAGCTCGGAGCCGGGGAATGGTGCGAGCCGAGCGATGCGGAGGAGAAGCTGAGGTAGCCTGGTGCGTGGCAGGATCTCAACTCCGATGTCCGGACCCCTCTCTAACTTCAGAAGACAAGAAGAAGCCTCAGAGGCAACTGTTTTGCTGAGTGTTGCGCCTTTTCCATGAAAGGTCTGGCCCAACTGGTCCTTGAGAGAGACAACTACACTTGGATCAGTCTCGCGCCAGGCAAGGATTCTACAGACTTACTACCTCATTCTTGTTGCTCGTCTTGTGGTTGGGTAGTCGTGTCATTCCGAACGTGCTGATTGCTCGACACCTGATCTGAGATCGATATCGTTGTGTGTGGACGGCGTCCGCGGCTGTGTGGAAATCTGCGCCATGTTGGGTGGTCGAACAGGTGCAGACGCTTGGTGGATTCCTGCCGCTGCGAGGCAAGCTTTGATCCGGTTGTACCAGTACTGGAAGGCAGTTGGACAGTAGCAACTGCCAGATGGTTGCTGGGAGACAAGATCTGACTAGAACACTGCACTTGGCGCACAAGAGGTTCACTATCGTCGCCATCGCTATCATGAATAATGCCGTTGTTGCGTCGAGGCATCGAGGAATGTCGATGGTTGCGTTGATGCCCAGCAGGTGCAGGTGTGGATGACTCGAGCATCCAACGAGGCTTGTTGCTCACTTCCTCGTCTTCGGTGTCATCGTCGCTGAGCACCACGGCATCTTCTTTGTTCATCGTTTCGAGGCTTGGCCTCGATCTGAGCAACTCTGCGGAGTGATGACGAGGTGAAGGATGGCTAGGCAAGGTCGAGTAAGGAGAGTGCAAGTGTCAGAGAAGGGAAGAGAGTTGTCGAGGAAGGAAATGTAAATCTGTGAGCGTGGCGCGGGCGCAAGTATTATTCACTGCAAATGTAACTTTGCTGCGCAAATTTCTGCCTGAGGTAGAGGTGAGAGGCTCGGTCGGAGCTCGACCAGTGGCCCAGTTGCAAAGATGTCGGGGCTTGGCTGATGAATCATGATGTAGGAGTATTGGCGTAGGACCGTATCAAAGAGAGAGGACGCTTCGAGACCATGAGATCCAACGACACCGTAGGTTGGCAGATAGCATGCAAGTGCTGGAGTCGGAGGCACACTGAGGCTCAGCTGGGCACCATCAAACTGCAAGGCAGACAGCAAAACCTGAAGACTGGAACAAGAGAACTTTCCATTCGCAGGCTAAGTGAGTTGTGGAGGGAAACGTACATACTCCCCCAGCCTCATGGCTCTGCATCCTTCATGTCTGACTTGAACCTCTCCATACATCTCTGCTTCGTCTCGTTCCAGTCAACGTAGGGTTCCGGATAACCTAGCTTCTTGAATTCCTCCTTGCTCAGACGATTATAGGGATCAAAGACTGCTTTTCCCTCGACATTCTTTAGCTCTGGCACCCACCTGCGAATGTAATCGCCATCGGGATCGTTTCTCTCCGCCTGTGAGACTGGATTGAATACTGTGTACGAAGGTTCCCAACCTTGTGTGTTGTTGTTCAGATCCCAGTCGATCAGAGTCTCAGCAAAATAGCGCTCGCCGCGCCTGTAATCGATCAAGAGATTGCAGTAGAGGTAGCTCGACACGTTCATCCGTAGCCGGTTGTGCATATAGGCCTCATGCTTAATCTGGCGCATGCCAGCATCAACGAACGGAACGCCAAGGGTACCATCCTCCCATCGTTTATAGCCTTCCTCGTCATCCTCCCATTGAACGAAGTCGAACTTGAGGTTCTGTGGGAGATTCATCGCTGTATGAGGAGTGACCAGCGTCGTTTGACGGTAGAGTTCGCGGAAGACTACCTCACGAACCCAGGATGCCACGCCAGGCGAAGCACCGGACTGCGAAAAGTCTGCTGAGCCATCGTTGTGCTTTTTGACAGCAGACAGCGCTTCTCGGACAGAGACGACGCCTGCAGCAAAGTAAGCCGACATTCGAGACGAGGAATCCTTGGCTGGATTGGATCGGGTCGCTGCGTAGTCTTCGATCTTGTTTTGAATGAAGTCGTTCATCCGCTTCATGCCAGCATCATGGCCAGCCGGCCAGAGCTTACGTATACGGTCACGTTCATCTTTAGAAGCAAACTCTTTTTCTTTGGGAGGGGACGGCACCTTGCTGTCGAAGAGACCATCAACGGCTGACTTATCCCCAGGTTGCTGGGACGGTGCAGGAACAGTATCAAGGAAACTGGGGTCATCTTTCACCTCGCCAAGCCACGCTTTATGGTATGGCGTAAAGACCTTCATGGGCTTGTTGCCGCCTGTCAACATCGTGCCAGGCTCCATAACAGTTTGATCGTGACGAAGGCTGACTTGGTAACCGTTGTCCTTGGCATCGTTCAAGAGCTTGGTATCGCGACGAAGTTCGTCGATTTCGTACTCATAGTTGGCGAAGACATGGGACACACCCTGGTCTTTGATGAAATTGGTAATGACGGGGATTATCTCGTCACGATCCGAAGCGTCAAGGAAGACCAGTGGAATGTCCACTTTATGGAGCTCCTTTTGCATCAAAGCCGAAGTCTCCAACAGGAAGTCGACACGAGCAGGACTCGTGCCGTGCCAAACAAATTCCGGCCCACAGTGCAAATAGGCACACACCAAAGGTGCCGACGCTTCTCTGGCCGTCTCAAAGGCGTCATGCAAAGCCCGATTGTCCTGAGTGCGTAGGTCTTTGGAGCGGAACCAATGCAAGACCTTAGTGGCCTTGTTGTCGGCTTTCTGGGAGTCGAGACGCTCTTTGAGCTCTTCATATGGCGTATGATCATCGACCTGCTTCGCACGCTTAGTGGAAGGATGCTGGTCGAGGGGGGCTTCGAGCTCTGATCGTTTTGACATTTTGGGCTGCTTCTTGTTCTTGCGAGGAATGAAGCAATAGGTGAATGGTCGGTAGACCCGAAGTAGTTGAACTGCTTGTGACTGATGAGTAGGTCGAAGTGCAACAAAGCTTCGGTACAGCGTCAGTGAGATGGGCGCCTTCTTGGTCAACATATGCAACGAAGGTCAGTTGTAAGCATCTCGGTATCCGAAGAGTGAAGCACCTGCTTCTTGGCTACCAACCATTCGCGACGCCGAAGTCAAGCTGTGAGTCGTGACGTAAGGTTGAATGAAGATGTGGCCGATTTGGTAGGTTGCCCTGCCAAGCTCAGATCGCATCCGATCTCCAGCGCAGGTACACGATGAACCCGCTCCACCTTGTAAGGGGCAGCGAGGCGCTTCAATTCGGAGGAGCCATGTCACTGTTGACCACCGTATCTCCGCAAATTTGCATCAACGCATCTGGAAATTCAGGTCGGGTAGTCTCGATGAGGGGCCCTTGCCTTACACTTGACAAGTCTCACCTGCGACCTTCTCCAGACCCGTCGTCGAGTCACAGGACACCATGGAACGTACCCATTCGCAGCGAATCATTCATGGGTTTGGACTTGCGGCAGCTGAACCATCTCGAGCAGTGCGTCGATGATCAAGTGCCCGTAGATGTGCCAAAGTAATCAGTCATCTTATATACGAGCCCGGCGTCACTAGGGGGACTGGAAAACTATTCGCATCAACATCCGATGGTGTGCTCGTTGGCATAATATTATTGCTCCATTCAAAGGAGTTGGGGAAGCCGAATCAGTAGCACAAAGGTTGCTGCAAGGGACTAGTGACAGTGGCTTCAACCTTAAGACTTGTTGACTGCCAAGTACTCGCTAATGATGAACGCGTCTGCTGGCATTGAGGTACAGTGAGCCAAGTCGCCCTTTTGTCTGCAAGAACGCGCTCTCAATTCGGGAACATGGCGTTGGAAAGCAGGCGGCCAAAGCAGTGTTTGCCAGCCATAGGTTGCTGTCTCGGTCATAAGGACTAACAATTAAAATTGAGCAATGTCAGCCATGCTCGAATCGGCAAAGTGACAGGCATATTGCCAAGGGTATGCAGAAATCGTAGATTGATTACTGAGTAGGGATGACGAGGCTCGCAGCTCGCTTCGATGTCGGCAAAATGTTTCAGACACGGTGAGGCTGTAGCCTGAAGACGGCACCACGGTCTCGGGCGACAGCGTCGGGTGTTTTGCCAAGTTAGATGCAACAAGGTTATCGCGGACAAAATGCGGCGATTTCCAGCGAGACTCTGCCTGTCCGTTACAGCAGGTTGCAGGCCGGACTTGCGCCCTTGCCAGAGCTCTGGGCTGCCGGTCAAGACTCGGCGCAGTTCTTAGGTGATTGCTGGCCTGCAGGTTTAGGGGCTAGGCGGCATCTGACTGGTCGGACAAGACCTGTGTGTTGTCTGACCTTCTAGAAGGAGTGGAAAGAGGCCGTCTTAGCACATTTTTCCTGGGTCCACGTAACGTGCTGGTAAAGTCTGTTCTGGTTCAGCGTTTGTAGCGTCTTGGACTACCAACTCGACGACCGTCTATTGTTCAAAACCTATCGACACGTAGCGACGAACGCTTCCACGAAACGGACAACGCCGGAAGCTGCTTGCTATGCCACTGGCTAATGGAGCGCGCATTTTGACTCCGGTATAGCCACGTGGGCAGGTTCCAGGAATGCTGGACGGTGTTAATGGTTGGCATCGTTCGAGCTGGCCTCATTCCAGCTCGATTCTTGATCAGGAGGTTCGTAAAGGGCAGATTGACTTTGTCAAGTGGCGGCCTGCACATTTCGTACTGTAGCTTGGCCTGTGGCAGTGTAGACGAACGTATGGACACCGTCTCAGACTCGTAACGAGGGCGGAATTTTTCAGGCAAGACGCCCTCGCGCATCCCGGTCCGGTGGATAAGCGGCAACATGGTGTAGAGGCTTGTTTTTCCTAGTCCAACCATGGTGCAGCGGCGAAGCACCAAGCTCCGATAGACGGCCGGTGGCATGGATGGATCAGGAAAAGCCGCTTTTCGAATGTTGCAGTGTGGCTATTTTCCCTGACCTACCACAGGCCCCCAGCCCTTCCGGGCTACTCCGCGTCATAATTACCAGGGCGTGGGCAAGGCTCTCGTACTGCTGACGAGATCGAGTTGTAGGGCGGCGTGGGCGTCCGAGTGCGCGAGAGAGCGACGAGGGAGCGTCGCAAAAAGGGTGAAGTCTTACCTCATACCGGTATTAGCGAAAGCAGCTAAAGGAAGCTACGAGAACATCCATCACAAGAGATCGGCAGCAGGGCATTATTAGACGGACGATCATACCACGGCAAAGCACCTGGCACACGGATGTGTACCGCCGCTGTCACGGCACCCATTCGGGCCCCGGGAATTGCGACTTTCTCAGCCACAGTTCTGGTGCAGCAGAGAATTTGTTGAGTGCGAACTGACTCAATGTTGCATCCGCCGTGGTTGGCCGTGATTCGTAATTAACGACGGCTGCCATTGCATGGTGGCGACCAGGAGGCGTACGGAAAAGTGAATTACATATGATGATGAATGCTGTCTTCTCACGTTTGAAAGGAGAAAGCCTGGTCAGAGGACAAGGTTCGGTCTCGTCATCCGACCAGGCCGACGGGGTGTGGACGGTTGTGACGCGAAAAAAAAAACAGAAGCCGGCGTGGGTGTCGAAACTTGACGGTGGGAGAGTCGGCGGGCCCCCCACTCCTGATCAAGAAATTCTCTTCCGGCCGAGGCAGAAACTACTGGCGGAACCGCTTCAGTTAAACATCTTACCTGTAAAATGTGTGTTTAGGCGTGGTATGGGCATAAGCTCGCGGTGCTTAGGGCAAGAAGGCACAATCTCGTGGCCACCACCCAAGCGAATCTGTCCTCTCAAGCAGGTACTCTCAGCCGGTGCGCACCTGCCTGGCTTCCTGTCGTTGGCCTTCTTCGTCCGAGGGACAATCATAAAATCTGCGTTGCGGACGCGGCCACAAATTTCATCTTCCTTTTGTATCTCCGCCTCACTCATCCGCATCTTCATTCATCGTGTGTGTCTCGATCAAGTCCATCTCATCAACCGGTGTCTCGTCGCCGAGACGTCTAGAGCCATCAAAATTATTGGTACGTGTAATCCACTTGATGCTGTCCCTGCCGCTGCCGCAAGCCACGACGACCCCATCGAGGCAGACATCCTAGATCGACGCCGTGTGGGTCGCCCAAATCTGTGCATAGCTCACCCAAGCAGTGGAGTCGGCTTGCCTGCCCTCTCTGCCGGCCCTGCCAGGTGTTGTGCATCACAGACCCTCTTCTATACACTTTATCCTCCATCGTCTACCCACTCTTTACCCCCATCTCACTACCACCACGAACCCCCTCGTCCTTCTCCATCTCCCTCGTGGTTGTATCCATCTTGTCCGCTGTCTTGGACTCACCACCACCTTCTTTGAAGCTTCTCTTTTATCTAGAGCCATTATTTGCTGATCACGCCTGTCCTGCGCCAGACTCCCTACCACGCCCGCCCTTCACCTAAAAATTTTCAACGAGTCCAGTCCTTACTGTACACCCACACCACACTACTCTCTGTGTTCCCTCATCAATCGCGTCCTGTCCGCGCACACAAACACGTACATTGCTCGTCGTCAAATGCTCTGAGCTTTGACGTGCGCATCCGCCCTTCGTCTCCATTCAGGTAATGGACCCGCGTCAGTCCCTCTCTCGGACCTCCTCGTCCAACGTTCCTCAGGCCGCTTATCAGCCCAACAACATGGCTACCTCATACTCGATGCCGCCTTATCAGGGTGGCACACATCTTCCGCCCATCAATTACCAAAACATGCCTCCTTCCAACCAGCAGAACTATGTTCCTCAGCAGCCATATCGCAACGACGTTCAACAACGCTACCCTCCTGTCTCTGCGCCTCCCCAGGCTCCCACACCTGATCGCTACAACCAACACATGACTCCCCCCTCGTCCATGCAGCAAGGTCTGCCACCTGCATCGATGTTGCCGCAGCCTCAGGGCCAGCCGACACCTCCACAAAACTACCCTCCCCACTCACAACAGACGCGTCAAAATTACCAACCAGCCTTGGCTCCTGCTCCGCCTCGGTCTGCGCTTGATCCTCCCAACAGCAACTACGGCCACCCTGGCTGGTCCGGTCCAGAGGGCATCCCTGGCATGACTTCGGAGGTTGGACGCGACCCGACGCGTACCCATGTTGTCGGTTCTCAGGGGCGACGCGGCATTCTGCCCAGTGCTCCTGGTCGGCCTCCCGTATCTGCCAACGGTCTCAACGGCTCTCCAAAAGGCGGTCAGATCCCGCAGAAGGATGCTGATGGCAAATTTCCTTGCCCAAACTGCACCAAGACCTACCTTCACGCAAAACATTTGAAGCGTCACATGCTGAGACGTAAGTTCGACGCGACCAGAAGCCCTGATTTAAAAGCTGACACGTATACTAGACACCGGTGATCGCCCATACATGTGCGTCCTTTGTAACGATACATTTTCGCGTAGCGACATCCTCAAGCGTCACTTCCAGAAGTGCTCCGTTCGTCGCGGAAATCCTACCGGCGCTAGTCATCTATCGAACCCCGCTGCTCATCTGAAGAAATCACAAGCTGCGGCTGCTAAAGCTGCTGCCAACGCAGCTGCCTCAGCCGGAACCACAACCCCCCCTAGCACTCAATCCGGTTCAAGTGCTCCGCTGCCTGGTGCACCATACACCAGCGGCTCCATGGCTCCCAATAGTATTCCCACCACTGCAGGCGGCGCACCTGCTACATCCATGTCTTACTCGATGAACACTCCTGCCCAGGCCGATATGCAGCGTCCTCAGTCCACACCTCAGGGACAGGTTGATCCCAATGGCAATGATCAGTGGGCCATGCATGACGCGCGAAACCAACAGATGATGTATCATCAAGGCTCCAACCCTCCTGCTCACTTCGCGATGCAGAATCAGGGTGGTGATGACAAGCGTGTCGCAATGCCAAATGCTCACATGGGCGACGACTGGAACCAAATGTTTCCCGGCGGCGCCAACGAGCAGTATTTAAACCCTGTCTTCTCTGGTTATGGACAGTCACAGCAAGATGTCAAAAACGACAATCATGAAGGTGGTCAGAATGGATATTACCTTCCACCTACATCTCTTGGAGCGAACCCTGATGGTACGTCTGGCATCCCTCCCTCTGTAGTATTTGTTTCTTTCTCGCGATGCTCCCCTCCACTGAAATCAAACCGTCATGTTGACTTTTGCCTCCCGGTTGGGAAACAGGTATCGCTCCAAGAGCCACAAAATAAGTGCAGTCTGCGCGACTGCTTGGCCCCGGACGCCATCAACATTTCCCCAGCCTTTCTTCATATTCTCAGGGTCATTTCCGTTGGCTTTACATACCTGTCTTCGACGTTTGAGAAGCATACGATGTGATTTTCTCATCGTCTATGGAGGTGCGGTGTGCTCGGACTGCGTGATGCCAGCTGATGTCCGCGCGTCATTTTCGCTGGTAAATCATGGCCTAGGGGGAATTGCCGAGGTCCTCCAATACATACGCGATACCAAACAGCATGGATTCAGGGCGTCCGGTGCTGAGATCGAAGAAATGTACAGTTTGCAGTTGTTGTGCAGTCTTACGATTTGGCATGACAGTGCAAAGGAACGGAATCTGGCCGCAACGATATGAGGCGGCTCTCGTTATTTACTCGCCGCTACGGTTTGGTTCAGCTTGCTGATCCGGATCATAGCACGGTCCATAGTTAGCTGCATCGCCTGGTACCGGGACAGACGGCGGACTCTGCGCAATCGGATGGTACAACCGGGTGGAGCAAGCAGAACGCTTACGACTCATGTACCTATTGTACATTACCAAACTGAGAATTGCGCACAAGCGCTTGGCCTGCCTGGAACTGAAGCGCAGGCGAAGATCAGTATGGCGGACTCACTCAGGCTGTACATGGCACGAGAACAGACGCTGAGCGACGGAGCATGAGTTGTTACGGCACCCCGGAGCGTTTCCTTGATCGACGACAAATGCGCAACTTCGAGAGTTTGGTGCTGGACATGAAGAAGCTCTTCCGGCCACTCAGCAAATTCTGTCGGGATGGGTGATGTGTTTGTGGCGCAAACGGGCGCTGGCCTTGCGCAAAAGGTTTCGCGAAAAGTATCTGATAGACTGGGAGGACACGTTATGCCTTGTCAACGAGTGCCAAAAGTCTCAGCGTATGGTTCTCTGAGCTGCCGACCGAATTGTCGATCTTTCTTTTGCATGGGATAGGAGTTTTGCGGCAGCATATTTACGGCTCGGTGGGCAACATCGAGAGGGGCATTACGGACGAGGACGATCTCATTCCGCGCGCTGCATGAAACGGAGAAAGTGGGCATCGAGGCTTGATCAAGACAACGACAACCCTCATTTACGAAGCACCTCATGGTCGCGTTCGCTTCGACGACAGAATCACAAGAACTGGGGTCTGTCGACCAGTTCGTTGCCGATACGACATGGAAAGAAATTGGGGAACAATGCATATGAGAATTTTCAGTGGCAAGCACCATCGCACATCTAGATGTTCGGTCACTACGTGCCGCGTTACGAGCATCAAGCTATGCCCCGGAACAGGCGTGCATCCACTTCTACATTGTATCGTAGTAGTGTTGTTAGAAAATACGATTGATTTCTGATAGACCAAAGTTGGGATTTTTCGGCGTCGCCTGGTTGCCTTGTTCGCCTCATACTTGTACCTGAAGCCGCGAGCTTGCCAGATCCACACACACCCGTTAATTGATAGTCAGGTACAAGGCTATTAAAAGAGGGTCTAGGACCCATGCTTTGCAAACGGGCCACACCGCCGCGTGATGGGAGGGTGGATCTTGAAGATACGAGAATGGAGCCCGGCTTGCATGGGGTTGTATGGGGACGATGGGGATGAGGGGGCACGGGAAGTGGCACCCCAGAGGGACGACTCATAGCGGGCTCTGTGGGCTATGTGGGTACCACAGGTTATGCAGAGGCGCGCCGCAAGTCTAAAGACGAGTGGGAAGGATAATTGGGGAGTTATTGGCTTAGGAGAGATGCTGAACGGCGGATGCAAAGTAGTGGCAGCATCGACCATGATGTGTGTTAGATGTCGGACTTCGCTGTGCTGGCAGTCGTGCAAATCGAGCTCAACAGCAAAGTAACTACCGCTGCGAAGATACCAGCAATCTCGATTCGAAATTTGCACAGGCACAGTCCTATCTCAGCACGCCTCGGCCGTTGATGGATGACCAGATGAGCAAGTACCACCTCGACCTGAGCTTCGGGTCGTGCAAGGTACAAGTGTCGCACGCATCTGCCGAACCAAGTCCTCTTGGGATGTCTCCTTTTCCCCTTCTCTTCCAAGGTAGCTAGCTAGTTAATTTGGCCGAGCGACGTTTCACTCACCGGCGCAGCACACTGCTAGAGGCTAGAGTCGCGCCGATTACCCGCATGGACACAGGAGGGGCACCTAGCGTGACTCCTTCCGGGGTAAGGTGTCAACCCCAGAGTGCCCAAGGGCCATCATTTTTAGCGAGCACTTGTGGGGAGCTGGCCACTGAGGACCTCGCATCTGCCTTAGCTGGACCAAATTTTGAACCTCTACCTCCACCTCCTCACTGCCGTCATCCATTCCTCGATGTGATCATCCATTCGGATCTTTACTGTCGTCAAGACCCACTACCCCAGAAAGACTAACGCTGGTCGAGCCCCAAGCTAATACAGATCATGTGTCGACGAGCCTCGAGTTTCTTTAACCTCTCAAGCCTGCGATCGTACCTTTACACCTTTTCTTTCCCTAGATCCGTGGTATAGCCATGAGGTTCAAAGTGTCTCTATCTCAGCGGCTTATACCACGAGTACGCTCCAGTCTGTAGTCCTTCCAGACCACAACCTCGAATGAGATGCCCAGCAGGCCCGGCAGCAGCCAGGATCCACATGGATCAGACACTACTCGAACTTCCAATGACAAACACCCCTCCGAGTTCCTCGAATTTGTTGACCTCTCGAGAGGCATCCATGGCGGCCGAGTCCAGCCTCTCAAGCCTCACGCTGGACAAGAATCGGACACACCACACAACATAACCCGATCCAACGATGACCTCTTCAGTGGCCTCTCGCAGGCCATCCCGGACTTGCGCCGCCTCTCTGTTGAGGCACGAGCCGCCACAAAGGCCGAGCACAGCATGGGCTTCGTCACTGGCTGTCGCACATATCCCAAAGCCATCATGTGGTCCGCAATACTGAGCTTGACCATTGTCATGGAGGGCTTCGACCTGACACTCATTAATTCCTTCTTTGCCTTTCCCGTCTTCCGTCGAAATTATGGGCAAGCACACACTCTTGAGAACGGTGAGACGTCGTATCAGATAACTCCCGCGTGGCAGTCAGGTCTCACTAATGCTGCGGTTGCTGGCGAAATCCTTGGTCTGATGATGAATGGGTACCTCACGGACCGCTTTGGCTACCACCGCACAATGATCTTCACTCTCGTCTGGATGTCGGCCTTTGTCTTTCTCGCCTTTTTTGCTGTCAATATTCAGATGCTGCTCGCCGCTCAGGTACTCTGTGGCTTGCCGTGGGGAGTTTTCCAAACTCTTTCCACAACATATGCGGCAGAGGTCATGCCCGTTGTGCTGAGATCATACCTCACCTCAAACGTCAACCTCTGCTGGCTGATCGGTCAGATGTTGGGATCTGGCATCGTTCGAGCCATGATACACAACACCTCGGAATGGTCGTACCGCATTCCTTTCGCTCTCCAATGGGCTTTGGCCATTCCGGTCCTGGTGGGCGTCAGCTTCGCACCTGAGAGCCCCTGGTGGCTAATCCGCCACGGCAAGCACGACCTCGCCAAAAAGGCTCTCGAGCGCCTCACGCAGAAGCACTCCGGGTTCAATGCTGACGAAACGATCTCCATGATGATCCACACTAATGAGGTGGAACGCTATTTCAATGGCGGCGGCGTCTCGTATCTCGACTGCTTCAAATCTACTACAGACCGCCGCCGCACCGAAATCGCTTGCATGGTCTGGATAACGCAGGCCATGTGCGGCGCCGCATTGACCGGGTATGCCGCGTACTACCTAGAATCGGCTGGCTTCTCGACTGCCAACTCGTTCAACCTCACGCTGGGCATGTACGGCGTCGCCATCACGGGGCATGTCATGTCGTGGTTCTGGATGCGCCGCGTGGGTCGCCGTACGCTGTACATGATCGGTCTGGTGCTGAGCTTCGTTATTCTCATGGCCGCGGGTATTGTAGGCACGATTCGCGAAAGCGATGGAACTTCTTGGGCGCTGGGATCGCTGATAATTGTGCTGACCGGGGTTTATGGTAAGTCTTTGAGCAAGCTCGAATCGGGATGGCTGAAGGAGCTCTTTGTGATATCTGAGACCTGTGTCTCAGACTTCCATAGAGTGAGCCTCATCTACTTGTTCTGGTTTCTCCGACGAAATCGTCCATTGGTCTTGATTCAAGGCTAACCAGAGGACAGATGCCACGATCGGCCCGGTCTGCTACGTCCTCGTGGCGGAGATTCCGAGCTCGCGCCTACGTGTCAAGACAGTCGTGCTCGCACGCGTCGCATACAATGTTTTCTCACTCCTCACGAACATCGTCACACCCCGAATGCTCAACCCCACCGCCTGGGACTGGTCCGGCAAATCCTGCTACCTGTACGCCGGCACCACGTTCCTGTGTCTGCTGTGGTGCTGGTTCCGTCTCCCTGAACCCTTTGGCCTGACATACCTGGAGCTGGATATTCTGTTTGAGAAGAAGGCCAAGGCGCGCAAGTTCAAAGATTTCCAAGTCAATCTAGCAAATTCGGGCTACTTTAGCTTGACTAGTGCGAGGGCGCCGTCGTCCGCTGGGGACGGTGATAGTAGGCCGGTCAGTCGAGCGGGAAGTCGCGCTGATTGGATTGGGCCGCGGTAGAACTCTTGTTTGCCAGCTCAGGTACGAATATATGCGAAAGGAACAGTAACAATGTGTACAAATAAGATGCAACTTCTGAGTGAACTCCTGATCCATTGCTATTACCTGACCTGCCGGTCAGAAGTGGATATCCGGATTCCATTTCCGTTCGTGCGCCAAGAAGTCTTCGCAAGGCGGCGAGGCTGCAGCTCCCAGAATTTTCGACGTCGATCCCACGTTTCCACTACCAGTCTCTTTGCCCATTTGCTAAGACTTGATCTGTCCCTAACCTCAGCATTCCCTCCAGCCTAATTCAATTGACGCTCTTTTTCCAATCCATACCCCAAGACCACGGTCTGATCACCAAAAGCAAGCATGAACGTCTTCGAAGGCGTCGAAGGCGGGGACTCGGTCGTTCAGTCTCAACCAGCGGGTTCCAGCACATCGGCAGCGGCGGCGGCGGCGGCGGCGGGAGGCGGGCAGGCGAAGAAAACGTTCCCCAAGACGGGCGTCTCGTATGTGCTGTCGCTGGAGCACGAGTACCTCAACTCGCACAAGCTGAGCATCTGCGCGAATTGTCTGGCGTTGGGCTTCGATAAGAGCCTCAAGCGGTGTGCGGGGTGTGGGATGGTGGATTATTGCTCTAAAGAGTAGGTCTCTAACCCCTCCGATCATGTACTCTGCTTGTTTGTCGATTTCGTGCATTTATTTTTGTTTGTTTCTTTTGAGGCGGGAGCAGCACAATTTGTACGTATTTAAATGTTCTTGGCCAACGACTGACCGAACCCCTTTCCGCTGGGCTTTCAAACAGGTGTCAAAAAGCGCAATGGAAACAGCACAAGCCCTTCTGCCATATGACGCAAGGCAAGGGTCGGCCGAACGGCTACCTGACGGCCCAAGCGCCCGAGCAGCTCCTGCGCCTCCTGGTCGACGCCTACCGCCTGCGCACCGAGGTCGACCACTCCGATGGCGACTGCGATCATGGCGTCTACTACAACGCCGAGACGGGCCGCTGGCCCAAGGGCGTGGTATGGGCCCAGGGCGACGCGTACGCGGATTTCCAGCGCTGGCTGGACTTGTGCGAGGAAGCGGCAGTGTTGCCTGAGTGGTGGCGCTTCGAGGATCGGATGGAGTGTCTGGCGATGGCGATTGATAAGGGCGAGGAGGCGAAGGAGAGCGTGTGGCAGACGCTGGATCAAGCGGAGTTGGTCACGAGGTATGAGGGCGATGCGAGCGTGAGGAGTGCGCTGCTCGTGCTGGCGGAGTTGGTGGTGGGGTATGAGGGCAAGGGGCGTGCGGTGAACGATAAGTGGTATGTGAAGTTCAGTGAGAATCTGGACTTGCATCCAGAGGAGAGGGCGAGGCTGTTGAAGGGGAGCGTTGAGGCTGTGAGGAGGGCATTTGAGGATCAGGGGTTGAAGGATAAGGTCGAGGGGAAGCAGAATGAGGAGGGTGACAAGGCATCGTGAGGTGGGATCTGAGCATGTTCCAGAACCCACAACGTATGGTCGATATGCCAATGGAGCTGGTAATGCCGTTCAATGCCTACCAGGCCGATAGCTCAGATGAAAATGCGCCGTAAGGCCATAGTCACCGGAAGCAGCCTCTGTGACCCCAGCGTGTCTTTTGAATTCGAATGACAAGGCAACGAGGCATCACGCCAAGATATCATGAGAGACGTGCCCATTAACGACAACGTGGTGGAGAGCTGATATAGGTCATGCCTCCATCGACCTCTGACTTCTGGAGTCCCACAGAGGCTCGCATGTGCTCGAACAGCATGTCAGGAGAAGTCCTCCGTCACCGTTGGCCGCTAGATCGTCATCCAGACTTTCTACAGGCCATGAGACGCATTGACGCTTTTGTCTGTTGAATTGCTTTGTCAGAACTTGTGAGAGAATCCTCCAATCGTCAGTCACTGACATGGTCTGCCACGTTGACGTGTCTTTGGTCAGGCTCCCCGACTGCTCTTGATTTCTTGCTGATTGTGGCATACATACGACGACATTGCCCTCATCTCAGTTTTTCCACTGCTGTTGGTGGATTGATATTGACTTCTGAATGGCATTGTCGGGCTCATCTTGGAAAGAGTACACATTGAATGCGGAAGGAGCCGTCGGCATGTCACACTTGGCCAATCCTTTCTCCCACAGAGCTATCCTTGGCCAGCAGACAAACTCATACTCTGTCTGGTAAGTTAAGACGACTTCAAAGCGGCCTTCGGTTATGGTTCACTAATAGAACTTGTTGTGTTGATTTCTCGGTAGCCGTAGCATCAGGCGCTCTTGATCTCTGGCTGTTTAGCAGGTTTGCATGATTAGCTTTGATCGTGAAAAAGCCATGGGAAATCCCTCCCTCACTTGTCATCTCCGGAGATGCGCTACCTTCGATGGGTAGCTGTCAGGTTCTATATCATGTCCATGAACGGCTGTGATATGGAGATATTGCAAGAGGACTCTTCAATCATCACTCACTGATAGGTCTCGTTATGCTGACATCTCTCTGGTCACACCGTCAATTGCTCCTAATATCTGACTGGCTGCTGCCTGGCTCCAACCTCCTCTAGGCATCAATACCAAGGGTGAGTCAAACGGCCTTCTATTGACAGTGAATACTGTTTTACACGCCGGAGTATAGTTTGACCGAGCATTAATTCACGCGCAGTCCTATAACTCTTTGTCCCAAAACCTGCGACCCTCCTCCTCTTTCTTTCCTACCAAGCCACGTCGTTACTCATTGTGTTCTCCCCCTTTTTGTTCCACTGTTCTGCTAGTACCATGGCCGCTCCCAACGACGTCCGCCAATCACTCAAGCGCCTGGCTGACGAGGACGCCGAGGACCACATGGCCATATATGAGGCCAGGAAGCGCCTGAAGGCGAGAGATGAGCACCGCGCCGCTCTGCTCAGCAACCTCAACACTCCTGCCCATCCGGCTCCTCCCACTGCCCCTATCTACTACAACCTCCCGTCCTTCGCCGACGCCACCGGCAACGTGCCTGCTCCTGGGCCGCCTGTCGGCACCTTGTTCTCGTCCCCCTTTGACGACATCGTTGGCAATGTCCCCGTCCCTGGCCCACTTGCTGGCACCATTCCCCTGCCCTCTTCCGCCGAGAACGATCTCGCCAACATGTTTGAGCTTGATCAAGAACTTTTTATCGACGATTTACCTTTCCCAACCGATCAAACGTCCCTCCCCGATGCGCCTGCTGCCGTTGCCAACCAGCACATGATCGAGACTCCTGGTATGTTCTGGGTTCAATGCTGTCCCTTCCCCAAATGTTCTCCACTAACTCTTTTAGCCCGCAACAAGTCTCTGTTCGAGCTATTCGACGAGTTCAGACAGACTCGTGAGCACGGAGATGAGTCTGTTCTGCACTGCGGTGCATGTTTCAAGAGGGCAAGAGACCCTATGCTGACGAATTGCCTCCACATTGCGTGCAAGTCTTGTTTCAACGACATGCTGAATGCAGTCGAGCACAATCCTGAGCTTGTTCCCACGTGCGAGACGGATATGTGCCCGGAGTTTGACGCCGACCACGTCTTCGAGCTAGGTCCAGACCTGTTCAAGCTTCTTGCCGAGTCCGTTGGCATCAGCATCAACGATCGTGATGACCTTAGAGCGGAATTCGGCCCTCTCAGTGATGCCGCTCTCCGAATGGGAGAGCTCTACGACGCTGCCGCCCAGCGCGGAGATGTGGCTGCTCTTAAGGATCATCTCGAGCATGGATCAGGCGCAATTCTTCCCTTGGATGCGGCACTCCTCAACCGAACTCCGAGCTTCTTCGTGTCCGAGCTCATCAAGGCATCCCGGCGCACTAGCACAGAGGACCTGCTTGACGGCATCCACGATTACGACTTCGACGACTCCGACCATGCCGGCGCTCAACCCCGTCACGAAGATCAATTGCCCTCCGATGATAGCAGTAGCGACTATTCCGGCCGACAGTCCTCCGATGACGATACTTCGGCGTCCTCCTCGCGATCAGGTGAGACCGACTCCGACTCCGACTCCGACGATGACTGGGATTCTGACGACTCAGATGTTTCAGCCACAGAGGTGCGCGTACTTAGGAGAGACTGGTCAGACGAATACCGGGAGACCTTAATGCCCGTTCCTGCTATCGATCGTCATGAAGCTTCTGACGACCTGGCACGAGATGGATGGCAATGCGGTCTGGAACCTTCGTTCGCCACGGTCTTCTTTTGATGAAGAATTTGACCTGATTTGACATACAAGCAACCCGCACAGCATGATATGCGTGATGTTGAGTGCGACCGATCGGAAGAGCTTGGCTCTCGTCCATTCTCGAACTTTGAACATCAATACAGGAAGAAAGGACCAGTCTATCGAGCTTGATTGACCAGGTCACGCTATGATGATGGTGATTGCACAGATGAGACGATCATATCCAGACTTTTGACTATGGAATGTGCTTTCGAGACAATTCTACCAGAAAGCAGCGAATAGCGCTGCCGGGATCCAAGAAAGCTGATCCTAGATGATAAACAGACTTATCATAATGTGATGCCTCACAGATGACCAAGTGAAACCTATGCTGCCTTAGCCTATGTCATATTCTGCTGCAATTTCAGGTCGTGTTGTCACCATTGGATACGCTGTGCGCCTAGAACATTTCCATCTGATTTCACAGTCTATCACGCACACCGCGTTACATTCGTGAACACTTATGGCTCAGCCATTGCAACGGGCATCAGAGTCGTGCGCAAGTGCAACACTTGTCCCCAGGCTCACTCGCTCAAGCAAGCTGCGCTCACAATCCAAGGACAAAATTTCTATGACATTCAGAAGTTGTTTGCACCACTTCTCCCCGAATGCTATCGCCATCGAGACTCTCTCTCACTCACACACCAACGAATCGCCACTACCCTTCATCCAAGTGCCAGCCTCCGACCCACACGATCCAACTTCCAATTCAGCATCGCAATCTCACCCTAACCTCCCAGATTTCCTCAATTTCCTCTACCACTACCATTGCCGCACAGCACAGCACAGCGCAGCCGCCGCCAATCCATCATGTCTGACCCCACCAAACCCCAAGGCAACGCCCATCTCGCCTCAGCCCGCGCAGCCACCGATCCGGACTTCCGCCGCGTGCTCGAAATGGTCATGGAAGGGCGCGCTCCAAACGAGGACTACATCGACTGGTTCTGGGAACAGATGGCGCTCCTGCAGCACCAGGAGGTTGATCGCTGTCTCGTGGCGTATAGAGCTCAGAAGCATGAAGAGGATGGGAGGGCGGAGAAGGGGCAGAGAGGCAGTGCGGAGAGGGAAGAGACGGCGAAAGGAGCGGGGAAAGGGAGGAGATATGGGGGCTTGGGAGAGGGCTTTGAGGGGCGGAAGGTTGGTGGTGGTGGTGGTGGTGAGAGGAGTGAGGTAGGGGAGGGGGAGCAGGGTGATGATGATGAGGGAGGCGAGCACTTGGGCGCAGAACGCTCAGTCGAGGAGGTTGAATGAGTGACCAGGGTCAACACAGGACTCCTACTCTACTGACGGCGTGGCTCTACCGGCCTCTAGTGACTCAGAAGGCGAGTATCGCAACGAGTCTGAGACCGGCCAGAATGGAGACACGACGATGCTGGAGGTGCGTCTGGGTAGTCCCCACGCATGAAATTCCAAGCGTGGCGGCAGTGGTATGACGTTGCCAAGGGCGGTAACCAGCGCGCTGAACATATTCTGTGGCGCGAATGGACTTGGGTCGTCGTCGTCGTCGTCCAACGGACCTTACACTGGGAGAGCGTCTGGGCGGTCAGGAGACGCAGCCTCACCTGGATCACTTTTTGCTCCACTTGGAGGATGCAACCAATGATGCTCAGTCTTGGCATAGGCGAAGGACACTCGAGGTCGACTTCAGACTCAACACCTCACCTTCTCGGCCCGTAACCCACCTCGACTACCAGCAAATCGATTCTTCGAATAGCGTTCGTTTATATATAGATGCTCTTCCCCTTTTATTCAGCACTCGAGCATCAATTTCTCCCATACGCCACCCCGAACCATCTCCCCGTCCCTCAATTGACCGCCGTCAACGATCTGCCTTTACAACATTCTCCTCGACCAATAGTAGCCTTATCCATGTTGTCTCTCAACGCACTCGTTAGCACCGCACCCGTCCCCATGAGCCGATACTTCCCAAGTCCACTCATCGCGTCCAAACGATTTCGTTCGCATGCACAACTCCCCTCCCTTCGATGAACCTTGACGAACCCGCACCAGCCCCATCTCCCATCTCCCATGATGAGTCCCATCAGCCTTAAGACCAGCTGCGTGAGATGCCATCATCGTTTTGGAATCCCTAAGGCGTTGGCACGTGGGACAGCAATGCGCTGTATTGGATCGATAATTTCCTCCGTATCACAGAAATGGAGGCTGCAAGTATGCATTATCTGACCTCTCCAAGCTTCGCAAGTTCAGGAGGGCTGCAGGACGTGACAAAGACATACGTTTGAACATGGAAGTCAACAGTGCGGGCAATGAGGAGGACTTACCCTCAGCAACTGGCTTCTGTATGTGTCTGTGGAGCCGTAGGAAATATAGCGGTGTTCTGTCAGCACCAGGATCGCACCGCAAAGGTGTTCAAGGGTGTCACATGGGTCGTCCATACATGGTCATGCAAGAAGAGCAGCAGCAGCAAGGCCCAATAGTCAATTCTGACCTTTTGAGAAGTCAGGGGGAACCACGAAAGCACCGAGCGACGGTACCCAACTGTAGTGTACAAGCATAAAAATATGATTTTGTCACTTTCACAATCCTATCCAGTTTCTGCGGACTGATGCTGCCGCTCGCAAAACGTCCAACACATGCAATGCCATGTAGATACTGCGCTCGATATAAATGATCCCGTGGTCCAACTGCGTGAAGCCGCATCTTTGTTTTCTCAAGTTCTTGAGTCACTGCTCGCGCGGTGACCTGCTTAATCGAAGTGGTAAAGGAGACTTTCAGTCTTCAAGACCGGCATACACGCAAAGCATGCGAAGGATCCCCGGATCAATATCTTTTTCGATCATCGCACCAAGTAGCTTCTCCTTGCGAGGCATGATCCCATGCGGCAAGATGATCCCTCCATTTGCATCGAAGGTCCGGGCTTTCTGAACGAGAGACTTGAGTACAGCAACTCCTCGAGCAGTAATCGCTCCGTATGCATTGGCGTCGGGTTCCGGTGACCGCGGGTGCCGAGGATTGTGCTGTGGTGGTGGCGGTGGATGACTGCTTGCAAGTTGTGTTGATTTATCTGCACTGAGAAAGGTGACAAGCCGGAGTAGACTGGTGGCAAACCCATCTTCCGACTCAAGCCACGATCGAGCGAGAGGGTTCTCCGAGCTGGGGGCCAATCCGGCAAGAATCTCAGCTGCTAGCATGCCCTGTAGCAGGAAAGGCTTTCGTGCTTCAATCAACGCTCTCGTGTCCCTTGTGCTTGCAGGAACGGCAGCAATGGCCAGGCCAAATGTGCGAGTGAGAAGTTCGTATGGGGGGGACGAGCCTGCATCAGCGGCAAAGATAGCCTTGTAATATGTCCGGTTAGGTTCGTCCCGGGCAAGAAGCTTGGCCAAACTGTCAACAGCTGAGGGCATGTACTTATGCACGCTAGGGCTGTAGGGCATGAAGCAGACTTTGCTCGCAGTTCCCGAGACTGGTGACGGTGATGGAGCGAATGCTAGTAGGAAATGAAGCAGGCAAAGAGCTTCCTCCTTCCCAGGCAGATTGACGGATGTCGACAAATTGCTGAGGTAAATGATCACATCTTTCATGAAGTCGAGGGTGTTGCGACTGCTGCGAAGAACATTCTCTCTCGTGCCCAGATATCGGATAACGGTACTAATGAGCTTCAAAATCTCCGGCTGACCAAGAACGATGAAGTTCGCTTCGTAGAAAGAGAAGTTTCGGATGAGCGTCGTAACGCAAATAAGGCGATCTGCCGCGCGATCAAGGTCGTATTGGACACTGCCAAATTCTGGAACATCTTGCAGAGATTCAGCCTCGACTCTGCACGTCCGTACAAGATCCTCGTAAGCCGTCAACGACATTTCGTCAGAGACCTCGGCTGTGTGCTCGGCGAGGAAATCCACCTGGTCCTGGGCACAATCGACCAGTGTCTCCATCAAATCATCACAATCGACCAGCGAAAGTTGTAGCTGGGATTCGGTTGATAAGGTTACGAGCGTGTCAAGAGCCACACGGGTCTCGGCGTGGATGCCTGATTTGATAGCCATAGTCAAGGCGTGAATGTCGATCACTCCAAGCTCGCGAACGCCCGGCGCAGTGGGTTTCAGCTCTGCTATTGCTTGCCCAATGTTGAAAATCTCGTCCAGGTTGATGGGACCATGGTACTTGCTGGGCGGTAACGAGTCTGGCTTGAATGGCTCCGTTATAGGCTTCTTAGCAGGCATGTTGCTTTCAGGCTCAGGTTTAATCGGAGTCTCTGATTGCTGGACTTTCTGAGGGGAGGCACCGGGTGGTTGGGAAGGATCGAATTGCCGGGACAAGCTCGAACGATGCTGTGCTTGAGCTTGAGGTGCGGACGGCACGAAGCCATTTTGCAATTGACCACCCAGTTTCATCATGTCAGATTGGTTCCGTTGGTGACCAGGCGTAGACTGATCTTGGGCTTGGTGTTGCTCGCGTGTAGGTGACATTTGGTTCGGCATTTGACCATGCATGGCTTGCTGTGCCATGCGTTGCTTCTGTTGAGACATCTGCCAGGCGACTTCATACTGATGAAGGCTGTTTCCCATCCAGTAGCTCTGCATCTCTTGCGCCGCCTGCGCCTGCTGCGGTTGTGGAAACTGTAGCTGGGCTGCCAAGTGCATCCACTGGCCAAGTTTTGTGATCTTCTGGGAGCCACCATTTTTGACCACTGCAGCGTAGAGCTGTAGCAACTGTATTGGGCGGCCGCATATAGTTGGATTGAGATCAACTGTCCTTCCACGCTGAGCCATAAATGCCTGTAGACTTCTGATGAAGTCTTCTGGGTTCTTGGGCTTTTGCTGATTGGGCATACCGGGTGGCATCTGATTCATGGAGTTTGGCATTTGTTGATGTGGCATTCCAGGCATGCCACCATGTTGCCGTTGTTGCGCCTGTGCCAACTGACGAGCCTGCGCTTGTAGCTGCATCTGGTAGTTCCGTTGTGCCGCATTGATGCCCATTTGTTGTTGTGCCATACCCATTTGGTTCATCCCCATAGGACTCATGCCATTGGCCATGGCAGGATTGAATTGCGGCTGGTTGAAGTTGCCACCGAAGGCCGGGTTTGACATGAAGGCTTGCGCATTATCGTGGGGTGTACCGACGCGACTGGCGTGGTCTGAAGGTCCCGGCGAAGGGTGAGGACCGCCTTGCTGCGGAGAAAAGGGACTGGGTGATGCGGTGGACCGCTGCGGAGGACCACCCTGATTGAAATTCATTTGCGGCACTGTTGGCGACGGAGAAGCGTTGTTGGATGTCTGTAAATGCTGAAATGGTGTGGGCGCATTCGACATGGATCCTCCGCCATTAGGTTGGTTGAATCCAGGGTAGGGCCCTTGACCGGGTGTCTGCGATCTAGACCCTGGGAGTCCGCCAGGAGCCTGACGGGGTGACGCGCCTATGCTATCTTCTCTTGCTCGTTTCGAGGGTATAACGGGGTTGGTTTGGTAGACAGAATTATGGAAAGCAGGGGACGCATTGCGACCATCGCCGTTCAGGTAGGGGGTCGTCTGAAATTGCGCCGGATTTATCGTCTGCGGTGGTTGAAGGAAGGACATGGATGCGTCGGGGAGAGGACCAAAACCAGCATGACCGTTGGGAATGGCAGATGGGTCGTTCGGCCACTGGTTCATGGCTTGTAGGTGTTGTGGCTATCCATGGGGCACTGCGACAAAGCTTATCAGTATATCTCCGCGGGCGCGTGGTTGCATCGTGTTTGCGACAGTGATCAAACGAGGTACAAGCCAGCTCTCAGGTGACATAGAACTCAGCATGGCTAGGGTGTTGTTGTGGTTGGCGATGGGGGAGTAAGCGGACAGGCGAGGGTGAACGCGTCGCAGAGCTTTCAGGGGAGAGGGTCATCGATGGCGACGCGCAGAGTGGTTGCGACATCGCCAGAGATGGAGGACTAGGGCTACAAGGCAACGGGAATGCTGACTTACCTGGTAGGCAATGTTTGGCGGACTCAGTCTGAGCGTACAGAGCGCACTCGGAAAATGAGCCTGAGGGTAGAGTCGAGTGCTTCCCAATCGGGCTTAGTGTGGGAACTCCGCTGCAGAGACTGTGTCTGGGTCAGAAACGAGCGACCATGAACGGCGACAAATCGAGGATTGGAAGAGGGATCCACCGGCAAGGGATGGAGGGCCGTGTAACGCGTTGGATTGAGGATAGACGCTAAGGGAGCAGATTCTGGGTTCTGGGAGGTGCGCGACTGGACCATGTGCGGGTGTCATCCAGGCTGCTATCGTGGCTGAGAAACAGGCGAGGGGAGAGGGGGACGGGTGGCAAGACAGCACACGCAAAGGCAGCCAAAATGATTGGCAGACGCTCGGATAAGGTGCAAATAATTTATGCAAAGAGACTGGAGATGCTTACCGTAATTAGTGGGCTCGAATATTGGTAACAGTACAAGCAAAAAGGCGGGGTGCCGGGAGCTGATGCGCAGGTGGTAAGTCGAGAAAGATGGGCGAGGAAGAAGAGGGAGAAGCCCGGGGCGTCGCTTCTTCTGCTGCGACGTTCCGACTCGCGCCTTAGGTCGGGCTGGGCCTGCTAACGTCGCATATCTCCACAGGGAGAACAACAACTGCTGTTCCGAATCATCTGGCTTGCCTATGCTCGTCGTTCCGAGCTGTTCGAAATCGTCGTACAACCGTGGTAGCATCATTCTTTTCGGGTGATTCACTCGTTAACACAGGGTCCTGCTGCGGGCACTCGTTGTTGGCTTCGTGGCGTGGCGGCTGCGGTTTCGACAGCCCACTTCATCACCCCAAGCTCGCACTAGGCTGGATCGAGCGTTGGTGCGACCCAATTTGCCCGTCACGCAGGCCGATGGTCAGTGTGCTTCACATCGTCTTCCTGGGTCCTGTTTGGAATCGGTGCCTGTGCTCGCAGTCGTCTCCAAACGGGAGCGGATATATCGTCGTCGTCGAGTCTGTAGGTGCTTGGAAGATGAGATTCACTTCGCAACACAGCTCTTCTCCCACCCTCAAAGGGTTGTTCTGAGACGTCCCTTCAGTCGGCCGTTTGGTGCCATCCAGCCATTCGTGACCGCAATAAGAGGTCTGTAGGACAATGACTCTCTTTCGTAGTCGGTCTGGTCAGCCATGATCTACTCGTAAATCAGGCGCTGGTATGGTGATTGAGGCTTGCAGCATAAATAGGTGTACACGGCCATTACTTGGGTGTGGTCTGGACCAGAATCTAGAGATTCAACCAAAACCAGGAAAGAGAGAACTTTAAGAATAAAACGAACGGTAAGATCGCTAGCAGGCAACAGAAGAAATCAAGATGCGCAGGAGCAAAGGCGGTCATCGGATAGCCAGCAATCACGACCCAAAAGTCTCTCATAAAGCGGATCGAACCCTGGTAGCGTACCTCATTTGGCACGTAGCAGTCAGAGCAGGAGCACGATTGTGACACATTCGGATTGACGCTTGCTTTAGCATACCGGTAGCTGTAGAAATGCCCACTCTAGATACACCTGCTGCTGGTTCTGCATACCCATCGCAGGCACTCATGCCTAACTACCCGGCCCACCGTTCAGCTGATCAAGAGGAAGATGTGTCACTGGAAGGCACAAAGCTGATCACATTCTAATGGACTGCCTCCTTTCTGATTCGTGTAAGCCCCAGAACCTATGTGCCGGATTGCCATGTGTCTGTCCGGAAGACGGGGTCACGAATTCGCCCCAGTGGCTGGCCCCGAGTCGAGAGAGGAGCAGAAGGTTGGACTTTGAAGCGGGCGGACTCCAGAGGCGACGATCCCAAGCCCAGTCTTCACCCGGCGACCCTCGCTATCCACTCAGTTGGGTCGTGCCTAATTGGCCACGAAACACCGCCGGCTCACCCTCCGTCAGCTCATCTCATTCACATGGTGCTCGCAGCAGCACGTCTTGCGTAGCAGCCCATGTTTTACAGCCCACGATTTCTCACCTGTTGAGTCCGTCCCAGGAACATGCCAAAAGTGGGCAACTTCACTACTGTCTCAATCGAGCTTAGTTCCGGCAACAGACGAGGCTGCCGTCTTGGCACTGCGACTTCAACAGGCTGAACGCAGGACGCGCGGGTTGAAGTTGATGCAGCTTCAGCATCGAATCCAGCTAGATCGATCCTTGTTATCTTCCATCAATCGGCTTATTCCTCTTGCACGTCCCACTCCTCTCCAGTCTTTGTAGACATCGATAGTGTCAATCGCCCATCATGGCCGACGTCGCTGTAGAGAATCCAGTCAATACTGTGCCACCTCACAAGAAGACGCTCCCGTCGGATTCCATGCCCGAGATCGATTCGTTCGAAGGAGTTGGAGCGAATGGAGAGGATGAATATTCAACACTGAAGCGACTGCAGCGACATTTAGAGTACGTTCGCACAGCAGGAACATGTTCGAGCTTGGACTGATCCGAAACAGATACATCAAGCTGCAAGAGGAGTACATCAAGGATGAACAGCGGTATGAACCACAACATCTTGAGAATCACAGTCGTCCTCTAATCGGTCCCTAGATCACTCAAGCGGGAGTTGGTGCGAGCGCAAGAAGAAATTAAGCGAATACAGAGCGTGCCACTGGTGATCGGACAATTCATGGAGGCGATTGATCAGAAGTAGGCTATGATGTACCAGCGTCCGCTTCTTTGGCTAACTGCTACAGTACCGGTATCGTCCAGTCTTCAACAGGCTCTAATTATGTCGTTCGAATTCTGTCTACCCTCGATCGCGAAAAGCTCAAGCCATCGTCTTCGGTCGCTCTGCACCGACACTCCAACTCGCTCGTCGACATCCTTCCGCCCGAGGCTGACTCATCGATTGCAATGCTTGGAGCGGACGAGAAGCCTGATGTGACCTACGCCGATGTTGGAGGTCTCGACATGCAGAAGCAGGAGATCCGAGAAGCGGTGGAGCTTCCTTTGACGCACTTCGACCTCTATAAGCAGATTGGCATTGATCCTCCACGCGGCGTTTTGCTCTACGGTCCTCCCGGTACAGGCAAGACCATGCTAGTCAAAGCGGTGGCGAATAGCACGACGGCCAGCTTCATACGAGTCGTTGGCTCAGAGTTTGTGCAGAAATATCTGGGTGAAGGCCCACGCATGGTGCGTGACGTGTTCAGAATGGCCCGCGAGAACTCACCCGCAATCATTTTCATCGACGAGATTGATGCGATTGCAACCAAGCGTTTCGATGCTCAGACCGGTGCCGACAGAGAAGTGCAGCGTATCTTGCTCGAGCTGCTGAACCAAATGGACGGTTTCGACCAGACAGCCAACGTCAAAGTCATCATGGCCACCAACCGAGCCGATACTCTGGATCCTGCGTTGCTGCGTCCTGGTCGCCTGGACCGTAAGATCGAATTTCCCTCACTACGCGACCGGCGAGAACGACGACTGATCTTTTCGACGATTGCAAGCAAGATGTCATTGTCCCCTGAAGTTGACCTGGACTCACTGATTGTCCGCAACGACCCACTATCTGGTGCCATTATCGCCGCCATCATGCAAGAGGCGGGCTTACGAGCAGTGAGGAAGAACCGCTACAACATCATCCAGTCAGACCTCGAAGACGCATATTCAAGCCAGGTCAAGGGTGCACAGGAGGCTGACAAATTCGATTTCTACAAGTAATTTGCAAGATAGGGACCCCGGGGAAGTGGATAGTGGTGGGGGACTTCAATGTACCAACGCGTGGCCATTTGCAGGCGTTCACTAGCTGTACCAAAACCCGTCATAGAGAGGGCTCAAGGAATACAATGCACTGTTGGTTCAAGTATATCTCCCACAGTAGTGATAGCCGAAGCCCGATGGTTTGTCTCGCGTTACCACGCGAATTGAATTCACATACTTTCCGAATGGTGTGGAATTATTAATCCAGGGAGGCTGAGTACGGAGTACTGAGCTGGAGTACCGTGGTCTTTGGATGGCGCCAAGTCCCGGTAATTGTGCTCCTGTAATTGGATTGGTGGTTGGATCAAGGAATCCACGGTGTCGTCATCTCCCTTTCATCGAAGTTCGTTCCTTCCCCTGCAGCATTTCACCCTCGTATTCCCGTGCCTCTTTGTTTTGGTCTACGTGACTGCAGTTATCATACCGCAACGCGCGTTGTACAAGTATCAATTATCCACTCTTGTATTTGCGAAGATTGCGAACCAAAATCCACCGGCTGCATATATCCGGAACCACGGCGCAAGGCCACGCGATACCGACATTATTGGCGTTTAGTGAGACAAACAAGAGACTGGTGGCGTCATTCCTCCCACCAAAGAAACACACGGACGCACGGTCTCGTCCACCTCGGCAATCGCTAGCACGCAGCCTCTCTAGATTATAATCTACGGAGTTCATACAATAGGTAAGCCCAAGCCCCATGAGATCCCCCCTGTGCTCGATTGCGCATACGGATCTTGGTCCCGAGAACGGGAGGTGAAGGAGGACGCGAAACGCAGATGAAGGCGCAAATCTGCGATGACGAACGGTCGGCACCAAACACCCACGCTTATCTGCTTCAGGAAATGTGGGGTCCAGTGGCATCAAGAAGGCCAGCTCATTGGTCAAAACGTCGTCTGAGGTGGCAAGCCGACGAGGAGAGACGCACCCCCAATTCTTCCCGCTGATTTCTCTCGCTCTCTTTATATCATCGACATCACCTCTGACTGACGTAGCTGCTTCGTCATATCCAGCCACCTCTCTCCTCAGTCGGCCAAGCTTCTACACGCCTGTACCACAACCTTTTCTGAGCTGCCTTTTGTTGCCCTGTGCCATCATTCACTTGCTCGGGCCTTCAATACGTCATAACTAATGGCTTCTGCAGCGGTTGCTTCGAGTGCACCTGTGCCTCATCTCGGTAGTGGTCCTGTCTCTAGGACTTCATCTCCTATGGACCAAAAGAAGGCTGCGGTTAAGCAAGAAGGTATGCATCTCATCGTCTGCCCGTAGAATGATTGCTTCGACATCACCATCTGATCGCGACACGCCTACTATTGCCTCCCCCTCCGCCGCGACAAATGTTGACATCATCCAGACTCCGCGCCAAAGACATCGCCGTCGCAAGACAAGGCATCTCTTCCAGGTGGGTGACACATCTCATTATCGTTTGCATTGGACTCACCCTGTGGGCAGTGCCACAGATTACTTCGCAGGCCGAAGACTCGAAACCAGCCGTCACCACAACCGAGCCACTCGCTCCTCCACCCAAGCCATCCAACCCAGCCGAGACCCCAGATTATTTTTCTGCGCTGCACAATACCTCCAACGGCATTGCGCAAGAGTTTAACCCATTTGAGCAATCATTCGGCGCGCCTTCGTCGGAAACACCGGGCAAGAGTCTTCTACCTGGTGTAGCAGCCCTCACATCACCAGCGATTCCCGGCGCCAATTCCGGAGGAGGCTACGGCTGGCAAGGTGGATCATTGCGGTCTGGGCCATTGAGCCCTGCTATGCTACCTGGTCCGCAGTCTGGCGACTACTTTGATAGTATTGGACGCGGCTTTCCTACCCCTAACGAGTCCTCGCTGAGGACTGGTCTGACCCCTGGCGGCGGCGGGTCTATGTTCCCGGCCCCCAGTCCGAACTCTCAAGCTTTGTTCCAACAACTCCAGAGTGGTGGAGCCACTCCTGGTACACTCGACTTTCATCGCACTGCTATGAACGCAGCTGCGCGCAACAAGAACAATCAATACCCAAGCACATCCAATCCCCAAGAAACCACCACCATGGATGCTCAACACGATGCTACTGACGCAGCCAATGGCCTCTTCATGCTCGCCAAAGGCGCCCAGGCCAATGGGCAGTTCGCCGTTCCTAACCAGAGCGCTCAGCAAATGCTGACCCGGAGTAGCGAGCGAAGGACGACGGGCTCGGCTGAAGGCAGCGCGAACGGTGAAGATGGTGAGAGCCCCGAGGCTACTCCATCTAACCGTCGTGGCAAGAAGACTACCACAAAGTCCGAGCAAGCCAACAATCGACGAAAGTCGGAGGCTTCAACTAAAGGTAGCAACAAGCGAGCCAAGAACAACAACGGCACTGCCAATGTTGATCCGGCTTTAGACCCACATCCGGACGATGACGACGAGGGAGATGATGATGATGATATGGACGACGACCAAGACGGCGCTCAGCCTCATGGCAAGGGAAAGATGACTGACGAGGAGAAACGCCGGAACTTCCTCGAGCGAAATCGGTATGTTCCTTTTACGGTTATTGTTATACGTATATTGACTGATTCGTGTTAGCGTTGCTGCCTTGAAGTGCCGTCAACGGAAGAAGCAGTGGCTGGCTAACCTGCAAGCCAAGGTGGAGATGTACTCTGCCGAGAATGAATCTCTCAACCAGCAAGTTGGACAACTACACGAGGAAATCCGCAGCCTCCGCGCGTTACTCATGAGCCACAAGGACTGCCCTGTCGGACATGCTCAGGGCATCGGCCAGTTCTTGAACGGTGTGCAGGATCCCAATCAATTCAACGTCCACGCCAACCCATACGGCATGGCCAACATGCAAAATGGTGCTATGCAGGCGGCCATGCAGCGCTCGTAGGTACAGATGATCGCGCCAAGCCACCCACCACAACAACGACGACGCGGCCTTCAAACGAGCTGCGGCTTGTGAACCACCATCCTAGGGTGGACTCCGCGCCACGGCTATTTTTGGGCAAGCATGCCACACCTTCAACTCGTCACTACCGATGCATAACGGGGGCAGCTGCACCTTTAATCTTCGCAATTTGCATCATTTTCCATCATGCCATGATTGGATGCATGACATGACGACACGAAACGGACAGGACCGGTGAACAGGCATTCTCGGACCACGGAGACGGCGCATGCTGGTGTTCTCTCGGTAGCACTTGCTACAGGGAGACCAGCATACTGTACATATTTAATTCGCAGCACACGAGAAAAAGGTTTTGTATTTTTACAGCGGAGTACGGCACAGGGATACGGCGGCCTTCAGTCCGTTTTGGCTGCTTCGGTCTCAACTTCAGGAGACTCGGCCAGGGGAACACAAAAGGCGGCGGGCCTTCGCGTTGAAAGTGAACAGATCATACTCAAAATACGCCCCTCCTGGCTCATGAATGCGTCTTGGGAGTCTAGAGACAAGCTGTCGGTCCCCGTAACGTGGGCGAGCCTGGCAGACTAGATCTGATAACTCACAGCACAGCACACATTACGTAAAGCAGACAGAATGAGCAGACACTCGCACATTTACGCAGCAAGCAAGCCCTTTTCCAATCGATTCCTGTCCCCCACTCACTCACTAACAACCTTGTGTCGGCGGCCACGCGTGCACGCGTACCGCGGGTAAGTGGACGACGTAGACCCGAGTACATTCATATCCAGGTTAGGTTGGTTGGCAAGAGACTCGTTTGGGAGCCAACCAGCCACAGCCAGGCCACTGTTTTCGAGGGCTCCGCGGTGTTTCGTGTCGTCTCATGCCATGTCATGCCTCTCTTGTATGTATGCACACGGCAGATCGGGACTACGTCGCTACCGCTCATGATATGGCGCGCGGCAGCTCCACAGGCTGGCCGGGTGGGCGCTTGGGTGTGGCTTTTGGTCCGAGTCGGAGTCCGAGTCTGATTCTGATTCTGATCTTGCATTTGTGTCGCCGTCTGCGTCTGCGTCTGCGTCTGCATAGCCATTCAAGCCGTCCGACTCTTGCCGCTGATGGCTAGAGCCCATAACTCTCGTGCTCCTGGACGATATTGGAAAATGCCATGAATCTGGAAAGGGGTGCCATATGTTGTATCAGAATCTGAAGTCGACTCGGCGTAAGAGCCACCTCGGCGATGGTTAATGTTGTACATTGTTCTATAGCCTAGTCTAGCATCCTAGCTCTATCGAGTCGCTGGTAAAATTCAAAGCTCATAACTCGTCCTTCTTCAGCGGCGTCTGCGCGTCAGCTTGCGCAACAGAATCACCCGCTTGTTGCATCGCAGGCACATCGCCACGTGCCTTGGCAATGACCTCCCTGATCTCGTTGTCATATTCGGTCCACTCTGGGACCTGCCGTCTCGCCCGGTCGAGCTTCGGCTCTTTTGTCTGGGGATTGTTACAGAGGTCAATGGTTTTGGCGTCTTTGAGGCTCTCGTCGCTGCACCATGTCTCACACCAGAGCCATTCCTGCGGCAGGCTGAAGATGGGGAGGTTGTGCTGCATGTGGTTTGGAAGATCCTGGTCCAAGTTGCTGAGGCTCGCCGGATCTGCTGAAAGCGAGTGGTATTGCTGACGTAGTCGGTCGCCCGCCGCAACCTCCCGGAACTTCTTCAGGTCGACCACGTAGAGGGCGGAAATGTGGTAGGGTTTGCCCCGCAGATATGTTTCCCAATATCCTTGTTTCCAAAACCGGAAGCCCTCCATTTCAGTCCTCGAGTCGCACATTGGTGTGAAGCCGTATGGTGCGCCCTTGAGGTTGACCTTGTTGAGCTCCATCATGTCCGTCCGCACGATCTGATCAGCATCGACGAAGATGACCTTGTCAAGGTCGACAGGAAACAACACATCCAGGAAGAGAATCTTGTAGCCCCAGATCTCTCTTTGCTTCTCTGTTTGGGCCCTTAGCCAATGCGGCCATTTGTATGTCACCATCTCGTACTCAAACCCGTAGTGTTCCGCCAATGATGGTAAGGTCGACTTAAATGCTGGCGATAAGAATTGCTCGATGAACCAGAATTTGACGGAGTGCTTCGTATGCTTCATGACCGACACCATCATGATGTTGAGCATACGTTCGTAAAGGTGACCTGACGCAACAGAAAAGATGTTGATATCGGCATTGGTCGTGCTGCTCGTCTTGATTCCGAGTGACGATAGCGCAGATGAGGCAAATGATGCACCTTTGTTCAGGTAGTCCATAGCTGAACCTGGTGTGGTTGACTCCAATACCTCGGCCTCCTCCATGCCAGGTTTTCGCGATAGGCGAGGGAACAGCGTCGTGCCTTGAAAGCTCATCAGCGCCACTGACGACGTCTCGTCACCAGGTACGGCCAGGTAGCCATCAGGTCCAACGCTATCGAGATTGTAGATCTTTGAAGATCTGCCAGGCTTGAGAGAAATCTGCCAGTAGCCTGGGTTAGCCTTGAACTGGAAATAGCCCAGATTGGCCATGATGATGGTGTCAGTAAAATGAGGATCTTCCGCAGTGCCGAGCAGCAGCTGCACGCCGCGCGGGGGCGGGTTGACTGTCACATCACGGGCATGGCCTTCAATGAGGATGTGTTCAAGCTCGTACACTGCATGCACATCATGCTCTGTGCCACTGAACTTTATGTTGTCTAGGTCATCGACTGATGTTTTGGGAGCAACGAGCCAAGAAGGTGGTAAGATCAGGTCCAGATTGAACAAAGTGTCCTCAGGAAGCTTGTTGAAAGAAGCCTTTGGCGAGACACGAATACCATCAGCATCGAATGACGGTGCGGAGCCGAGAACTTGTCGATAAAACCTCTTCGACGGCAATTCGGTCAGCTGGCCCCTTGGATTCAGGAAAATCTTGAGATTGACACCTTCGAGCTCTGACAGGGTATGGAGGATCGATATCCATGGCTGCGAGACCTCAGACACAGGATCAAGGACTGCCACGACTTGTAATGTGGGATCGTCACTGGTGCCGACTGTAATGGCAGTGTGCGTGTCGTTCCACAATCGGTAGCGATCGAGTCGTAGAAGCGGTGCAGAGTCGCGCATGCCCTCCGGCAATTCTGACTTTTGTGACCTTGCAACCACGGCTGTAATCTTGGCTACATCCAGAGGCTCCTTGAATTTGTCTTCTAGACCGGTTGCTGCAACAGCCATGGTCACCGGTGCTAGCCTTGCGGATCTCTCAAAATCCAAAAGGAGCTGCAAGTCCTCCACGCCGAGCGATCGTCGGAGAGGGCCGAGCATACGGCCGTTGAGCCACAATCCGTTCTCCCCAGCCTTTAGGCCCAGGTCACGGATCAGCCCGTTGGCCAATGCCCAATACTGTGCAGCCTCCTGCTGTACTTCTTGAGGCATCCGTATCTTAGCATCAGACCCGCCCAGGAACGCTTGCACTTTGGCCTGTTGCTCCGCGGATAGCTTCGGCCCGGTCTCGCGCTGCCAGTGGTACATTAATGTAGAGATTCCAGGCTCGGAAGGATCTCCTGCGCTGTGCACCAACATGACCTCAATCTCGGGAACCTTTGTTTGGAACTCGACTGCGGCGCTCGCAAGACTTCTGCCATCTTCTGTATTCAGATCTGCTACGACAAGCATGTGAGCACGATCCGCCATCAAGACCGCTTCTGCGCCAACGATCCGCGGCATCTTGGCGAAGGCATCCGCATGGTCAGCAGTGAGTGCAGCCACGTCCACGACTTTGATATCCTTGAGATCGTGCGGGATGACAAGCTCGTTTCTCCGGGTGATAGCCTCCGCGATTAGATGATCGCGAGCTGATGCATCCTCGGGCAAGGATCCCTCATAGACCGCCTGCATGATGACTTGTAGATCCATGTATACCCTTTGACTCATAGTCTCAAACCAGCTTTCGGTACGGGCAAGCACGACTCCGTTCACGATGAAGGGAGCTGTAGAGCCTCGAAGCTCAAGGCGGTCGACGTACGCATCCCGGTGACGAAGTCTTTGTTCCAGTTCCTCACTTTCCAAGACTTCGGTGTAGCTTAGTGCGGTCTTGTCCTGCCGCAGCTTCCGTTCCTTGATGGTAGCTGCGAATAGCTTCTCTGGTTGTGCTGCAAGCTTACCGGATTTGACCGTTTCCTGGTAGAAGGATAGGAAGGTTGCAAGCCCGTAAGTATCTAACAAATGATATGAAAGTTTGCCGTACGTCTGAGCAGCTTTGGAGGCGCCAATCGGGACCAAGCCAATGCGGATGGGAACCTTACGTTTGATGAGACTCTGCAATGCGGTAGTGACAAGCTCGAGATCTTTGAGATTGTCGACTTCGAACGGAACGATGATGTTATGGATGTCTCTTGCCACAGCAGGAAGCTGTCCAGGATATGTCCTTTGAAACAGCCCTGTAAGAGAGGTCGGCCAGCCTGTGTAGCGTTTGTCCTGTTCGAGGTCGTTCATGAAAATGATAACCTCACCTCCCTCAAGATCATCACGCCAGTCGAAGCGGTGGTCGGCGGCATTTCTGGCAGATTCCGCAATCACTTCGTGGGCGAGGATGTTGACAGCTTCGGTTGGGGTCAGGCCAATATCTTTCATCTGGCCGATCAACTTGCGTTCCCGACGCAGATGTTCAAGCAACGAGTACGCGTTGACTTGCCGGTTCTCGATTTGGAGTCCATTGATCCACAGTGCATTGAAGCCTGATGGCAGAAGAATTTCTCTGTTGCTGAGATGCTCTTTCAGAAAATCTTCATTGGCATCCTGGGAGGCGAGGAAGGACGAGTACTTGGGAAAATCAGTCGACACCTGCAACAGAGCTTGCATTGGGTTTGGATTCGATGCAACCCAGCTTGCTGCGTTCAAGCCCAAGCTGTACAGCTCACTCGTAGTCAAGGATTTGATTTGAAGCTCGTCATTGGCATCGGGTTCCTTGGCTGCATCTTGCTTGACTTCATCGGCACTCCCCGCCTCTCGGTCGTCGATGACAATGTAATCAGTTCGTTTGAGGTTGAGCTCCACTCCATAACCACTCAAAGGCACAGGTTCGGAGCGGGTCTCGGACGGCCTGTAACGGATACGATAGGAAGTTGTACCATCGCGTGCAGTCTCGGAGATGGTGTTGTGAAAGTCTGCAAAGAGAGGATGAGTAATGTCGGCGTAGATGATAGACGCAGGCGCCTCTGCAGGTCCGAGAACCCTATCAAATGGGAGAACGTTCTCGGAGGTCTCAAATGCCACGGGTTGTTGGGCTCTCTCCAAAGCCGGAGAACAATATTGTTGACCGTCAAAATGAACCCATACTGGACAAACAGCGTCCTGCGCTGCCATCATATGAGGCTGGACCGTGGCATTGTAGTATTGAAAGTGTGCCTCTATCCTGGGTGCCGCTTCGTGCAGGCTGAGGGCAAACTTGAACGATGCTAGCGACTCGCCATCGGTGAAGTGTCCATCGTCCTGGAGGACCTGAATGAATCTCTCGTATAACTCTTTCTCCGTCTGAGCCTCGGCGAAAGTGCGCTGTGCAATGCGGTCAAGGAGGGGGAAGTACGAGGCAGGGCTCTCAGCAGCGGCAGTTTCTCTGCGCGGATATCAGCTGGAATTAGCATAGCCTGGAACCAAGTAGACTTACAGCAGTTCTACCAGAAACGGAGCCGCATTAAATGAAGTCTGTAGTGCAACATTGACAGAGTGAGAAGCCCAGGCAGCGTGTGACTCTAAGAGACAGGCCAGGGAGAGGATCAGAGCCCCTCTCCATGGCACCTTCTGCGGCCGCATCGTAGGTGCTCCGACGGCTGCCAGCAAGTGTCAGGAGAACGGCTGCGTGAGCTCGGAGGCAATATCAGGGCAGAAATGAGAGCATGACCGCGAGCAAGATGTCAGCACTGGGGACAATTAATTTGGGCGAGGCCACGGTGTCGGAGAGACGCGTGCCGCGTTTGACTGGTGAATCTTCTCCAAAAAATTCCGGATCGTATGACGGCAGCATCATGGTCTTTTGCTTCTATGTTTCCTCGCTTCGCTTCGCTCCCGCACGTTTAAATGTCAATTGTGGTTCCTCGGGGATCCCTTGCGCGTAGTCTGCGCAATGGCAGTCCGTGTCCCAACTGCGAGACCCGAGAACTGATGAGCGTGGCCCGCGCCAGCCGACGCCGACATGCTCTCGCCTTTGCCTTTTCGACCTCAATCCGGCATGGTGTTCATCAGTGGAGGCAGCAGGTCGTCTCGGATCTCAACGAGAAGGATTCTGATATCAAAAGACCGCAGAACTCGAGACCAGGTTTGAAAGATGGCATCTTGCAACTCAAGCATTACGCCGACAAGCCCACTTTCATGCCCATTAGTCTGGAGCCACTACCAAAACCAGACGTCGATATCCCCGAGGAGAACAGTACTCTGGCATCCACGCGTCCTCCTCCATTTATACCTGCGAAGCGCGAACCCTCCGAGTCTCAATTCTCGTACCTGCTCCGCATCGGACGAACGTATTGGACGTTCTACAAGACGGGCCTCAAGAATCTGCTAGCCAATCGCAGAGAGGTCTCAGAGCTCAAAGGATGGATTCACCCTTTCTCCATTGGCGGCGTGGCGCGATTTGGTGGAAATCCGTACCAGACAAAACAAGGCACCGAGGTACCGATTCCCCATATCTTCCGAAGGGAATTTCAACTATTCCACCGCACGCGAGCCGATCTGAAGAAACTCATTCCGTTCTCGTTGCTGCTTTTGATATGTGGAGAGTTCACACCCATTGCTCTTCTGGTCCTTGGACGGCGAGCAGTCCCTAAGGTGTGCTATCTGCCTAACCAACAACGGGAAGAGATGGACGACATTGTGTCTCGTTTCAAAACATGGCGGAGAGAGATGAATAAGCTCACGAAAGCGTCGCGTGTTGAAAAGCCGTCGCACGCTTTTGACTTCACTCCGCGAGGGGGCCGTCTCGAGCATCCCTGGCGCAGAGACTTGCTTTTTGGTCATATGGTTGGTCTTACCGGCTTTTATCGGCTACCGTTTCCCGTCACGCGTGGGATCTACTGGCATTTCATCATGTTGCATCGTCTACGTGACTACTGGGACACCATCTTCTGCGACACCATCCTCATAAAGCGCGAGGGTGGGTTTGCGGCAATGTCTCCCATTGATGTATATGAATACGCTCGCCACTACGGGTCACTGTCTCTCTTCGTCATCATGGAACGTGAGATCGGCAAGAAGAATTATGACTTTATCGACGAAACGCTCAAGCAAAGACTGGTGCCCGTCTTGGAGCAGGAGGCCGACATTATGCTCAATGAGGATTTCACCAGGCTCACCCCAAACCTGCATTGGGCACGTGCCTACCGCGATTCGGCTTGTTGGGCGTCGAGTCCTGACGTTGTCAAGGCCGCCAAGCTTCTCGAAAAGTATGAAGCAGAGGACAAAGCACAGGAAGCACTGGCATCCAAGAATACGACGCCTACCAAACTAAAGCTGTGAGCAACCGACTGTTACTCTTTGCTTGGGCATCTCAAGACTGGGCAATGATGAGGATTCAAGCACTGTTATAATTAGATACATAGACGTTTGGGAACGAGAATATGTACAATCGCAGGATAAAAGCGTACATCCTTCACAACGTTGGTTGGGCTGCACAAAGATTCGTTGCAACGCTACATTGAGGCAGACCACACGTTGCAGCTTTCGTTTCTCGGTACTACGGCCCTGACTCCATCGGTCCAGGTCTATCACCTGTGTCACGACCCATCGCGCCAGCGATGAAATACGTTGCAGTAGTTCTGATCGTAGGGAAAAGGACGTAGATGGAGATGGATGTTTACCGAGTCTCTTGGCATCCCTTGGCAACGAGGCGATGAGGCAATCAGGCGGTCGTCCTACGCGACAACAACTGGAAACAAAGATGTCACGAGCACATTACGAATGGCAAGGAACGGGCAGTTTTTGTTCAAGCTGATATATTTGCAGCCGGGGCCGATGCTGATCACCCCTTCCGAGATTAATACAATTAAAAAGTAGATGTACTTATCCGACGAGAGAAGCGAATTTTTCTATTCACCTTCTCGCCGTTTTTGACCCATAGGACTTTTTTTGCAAATTTGTCCATGATATGATCAATTTCCATTCCCCAATTTCAGTTTGATGTCGCCGACGCTGTATGCCATCGGTCGCCAAAACTATGCAATAACCTCTCTCCTTCCTTATCATGATGCCCGTTTTGTGCGTGGGTCTCGTCAGTGTAAAAATGTCTATAAAGGATCGTACGCTCGCGCGGAGAGGGAGGAGTTTTGTGTGGTGAGATATTATCCCGCTCCCTTCAAGGGGCCATCAATGAAGATGGCCCCCTCAAGGGTAGTGGTTGGGAGTGGTAGAAAACTCTCGCGCGAGACTTTCGGAATAAAAGTCGTGATGGTCGCAACAATGTTCCACTTTCGATGCAACGCTTCCTGGCGGGGTTGCACGTGGATATGGCGAATTGAAGAGTATGTACAAGAGCCCAAAGTGTACTGGGTTTGCATTGGAGGTGGAGGCTAAGGGAAGATTTAAGCCAGGGCAACAAGGGCCATGACGGCACCAGCGAAGGCGACGACGGGCTTGTTGGCGGTGGCAGAGCCGGCGTAGGTGGAGACGGCGGGAGCGGGAGCAGAGGGAGTGTACGACTCGACGGGAGCGACGGGGGTCGATGCAGGAGGAGCCGGAGCGACAGGGGTCGACGCGGGAGGGGCGGGGGCGGGAGCAGGTGCCCAGCTGGTCTCAGCGGGAGCAGCGGGAGCAGCAGGGGTGCTGACATCAACCCACTGGCTGCTGGCTGGGGCCGGAGCGGGGGCCGGGGCAGGGGCGGAAGAGGGAGCGGGTGCGGGAGCAGGAGCCCACGAGTGCTCTGGGGCCGGTGCAGGCGCAGGGGCGGAAGAGGGAGCTGGGGCGGGAGCAGGAGCCCACGAGTGCTCTGGGGCCGGAGCTGGGGCGGGCTTGGTGGAAGGCGCAGGGGCGGGCTTCCACTCAGTCTCCTTGGTAGTGGGAGCAGGGGCGGGCTTCCACTCGGTCTCCTTGGTAGTGGGAACAGGGGCGGGCTTCCACTCGGTCTCCTTGGTAG